GGCTCGCCGGCGCCATCATGCTCTCGAGGAGCTTCGCCCGCTTGTCGGCCGGTGCCGTGCCCGTGTCGCGCGATGTGAATGCCATTTTCTCGGTCGTGAGGGCGGCGAGACGCGCCGAGTTCGCTTTGTCGACTTCGCTGCGGAGGGGGAAGAGCTCTGTCGGAAGGATGCCTGCAGGGTCCGGAGGAAGCGGGCGCTCGAGCGTCTTGAACGTCGCCGCCGCGGCTGAGGTGATGTTCCCGAGCCGGAGCTGATTAAGTAGGTTCACGAATCTGGGGCAAATGACGTGAGACTGGGGGAACGCGAGCGATATGAGCCGCTGTAGTGCGCACCATCGTCCCTCTGCCGGAAAACTTGCTCAAAGTCAGTGTGCGGTCGATGCAGCGGCCCCACTCCTCGACTTCGAACGCGAAGACGGGTGCACCATTCTTTGACACGGGCGGAAGCTGGAAGAAAGTCCCAGTGATGACCAGCTGGATCCCTCCGAACGGGCTCTCGTTCTTCCTCAAGTGTTCCGCAATCTTGCAGATCCGCGTGAACAGCGGCCGTCCACCATAGATACTGAGCATCGAGTCAGGGGCGCCGTACTATGACAGGCAGAGTACAGACAGACCCTCGTCAATGATGAGCACCTTGGTCTTCTGCCACCGCTTCAGTGCCGGCCGGCATTTCTTGATACATCGGATCTGGAACTCAAATTCGGACGGGTGGGTGATACGGCACCCCATGCGTGGATAGTCATCCCTGAATCGTGTCAGTCCCCTCGCGCCACACCCGCCGAAACCACACGCCGCCACGCACCTCCGATGTTCGACGCTGCCATCCCTGTGCTTGCCGTGACCGAAACGGCATCCGCGGCCTTCCCATGCTTCTTTTGAGAGCAGCGATGATAGCGCGCAGCAGGAGCGATTTTCCGTGCCTGGAAATACGTTACTGAGACGCAGCCAGACCCGATGACAGGGGCACGGACCTGCGCTCCCCGTGAAGAACACACTCCGCCCCTCGTCCACGACCTGTCTCAGGATCGCCGCCTGCTCGGAGTTGAGGGCGACGGGGCGCCTGTCGTCGGCGTGCGCGGATGCGGGGGCGAGGACTCTGGGCGCGAAGAAACTGTCGAGCGTCTGGCGCGGTTTCTTCGGCGGGTTCTTCGATGTCGAGGGAAGACCGCTGTCCGATTTTCGTTTCTTGCCGAGGGCGACTGGCATTAGGCCAGGACGTCAAGAAACCTCGTACTGTCGTTTGGACAGGATAGAGGAGGGTGCGGTTAACGACTCGGTCTGAAAACAATGCGCGTGACATTCTCGTGACCGCTCCCTGTCTGGATCATGTGTCAGGGATCAGATGGATCAGATCTGTCAGTGTCATGATCGTTGATCGAGCGGCTGCACTCAATTTTTCCTTACAACGACCAGACGATGGCGGAACATTTCGACTCTCGACGGCTGGTCGGGATACGGGCGGAGCGCGTCACGGACGTGTCGAATCGCGAGTTCCCCGGGCACTACCCCGGGGAGGATCTGTCCTGGGACCTCGAAAAATTTCGCCAGGTGCGGAGCCTCGCGCGCTGCTGCCGCCGCCGCAAGCACAGTAACTGACGGGGGTTCGCTTCGACAAGGGCAGAACTTGACAGTGAAGATCCAACGCGCGTCCGCCCGATCGATCGACTTCGACCTCGTTGGCGTCGACGCGTCCATCGCCAACGCCTTCCGGCGCATCCTAATCGCGGAGGTATGCGTTTCCGCTCCCGAGCCCCTCACCGACCCACCAACGCGTGCTAGGTCCCAACACTCGCGGTCGAGAACGTGTACGTGTACAACAACACGACGGTGATCGTCGATGAGGTGCTCGCGCACCGCATCGGGCTCGTCCCGCTGAACGTCGACCCGAAGGACATGGAGATGCGCACGGACGACGAGGAGTCGACCGACCGCAACACGCTCGTGTTCAAGATCGACGTGACGTGCACGCGGCGGCCGGACGCGCCAAAGGACGCGACGGACCCCGCGCTGCTGTACGAGAACCACGAGCTGCTGTCGGGGCACATGGTGTGGAGCCCGTTGGCGAGCAGGACGAGTTCTTCCGGGACAGGCCGCCCGCGCCGCTGAACCCGAACATCGTGCTGGCGAAGCTCCGGCCCGGGCAGCAGGTCGAGATGACGCTGCATGCTGTCAAGGGCGTCGGCAAGGACCACGCCAAGTTCAATCCCGTCGGTGCGTCGCTCCCTGCATGCTGAGATCGCACTCACTTACCGAGCCCCACCAGCGACCGCCTCTTACCGCCTCCTCCCCCACATCATCATCAAAAAGCCGATCCCGCCCGACCTGGCGGACAAGTTCCAGAAGTGCTTCGCGCCGGGCGTCATCAAGGTCGACCCGCGCACGAAGGCGGTCAGCGTCGACGACGCGAAGAAGCGCAACGACACCGTCAGCCGCGAGGTGCTCCGGCACCCGGAATTCGACGGCGCCGTCGAGCTGAGCCGCGTGCGCGACTACTTCCTGTGTGCGTGTCCCATATTTTAATATTTTATTTTGTGCGCTACCCCGCTGACCGGCGAGACAGTCAACATCGAGTCGGAGAGCGCGATCCCGCCGCAGCGGCTGCTGCTCGAGGCGATCGGCGTCATGCGCGGCAAAATCAGCACGATCCGGCAGGCGGCGGCGGCGCTGCTAGATCAGTCCGGCGGGGACGTCACGATGGGCGACTAGATTTCGTGTTTGTATGCTGTTTTATGACTTGCGTGGCCAGCTGTGATAATGCGAAGCGCTGTACTTGCTTGCACTGAGCGTTGACTCGGATTCAGACTCGCAAGTTCGACGACTGCATTTGGAATGCAACCCCGGGGTGCCTGAACGTGAACACGCATCCATCTCCGCCTCGTAGGTGAGTTCATGCGCCTTGCCACTGACTAGACTGCCTGAGGCCAACAATGCACGCCAAGGCGCACTGGAGAACCCTCTCTGATGACCCATCACGCTTTGAACTGGGATTTCCTTTTTCGGGAGGTATGACTGCTCGCTTCGCTCGCAACAATGGCATGACAATGCTATCATGGCTTGGGCACGGTTCGAAGCCCACATAAATAAGGCGTCCTTCAGCTGGGTGGATTCCCCATCTGCTCCCAGACACACTCCACTTGCCACTTCTGAAAAAGAATACATAACCATGGATCACGTCCACGAAATCGAACTCGAGTCCGACTCGAAGCCGGACCTGTTCGACCTCAGCAAACCCGGTGCCCTGCACCTGGACCTCCCAGCCGCGGCGTCTCCCGCCGCTACCGCCACCAGCACCACCAGCACCACCGGCGCAACGACTCCGCCGCTCACCCTCCGCCGCCGCAACGTGCCCGACGTCCCGCGCGACGTGAGCGAGAACGAAGACGAGGACGACTTCCTGCTCGAGCATCTCAACGACCCGAACCTCGACCTGCGCCAGGTGCGCAGCGACGCCGGCGCCGCTGCGGAGGCCCTCGAGCTGACCCCGCGGCCCAAATCCGTGACGTCGTCGACCAAGACGGGCGCGACGCCCTCCGAGCTGGAGTCGGGGGCTGGCGGCTCGTCGGCGGTCGAGTGGGATGAGTAAGTCTTGCTCGTTGTTTTGATATATTCTGTGCGGTGTCTGATAAAGGTGCCAGCGAATCGCCGTATGCCGAAGTGCGGATGGCGGTGTCCAAAGTCGACGACCCGACGATGCCGGTCAATACCTTCCGGATGTGGTTCCTCGGACTCATCTTCACCGTCGTGCTCTCGGCATTGAACCAGGTTTTTGAGTATCGCTGTAAGGACATGTTTGTGTCAGCCATCCTTTTTTTGTTGTTTGACGCGCGTTTGCAGCTCCTTCGCTGTTTGTGACTGGGCTCGTGGGACAGCTGGTCTCGCTCCCTGCTGGGAAGTTCCTCGAGTGGGCGCTGCCCAGCACGACCTTTGTCACCCGTGGGTACGCCTGGTCGCTCAACCCGGGTCCATTCAACATCAAGGCAAGCCGATTTCCGTGCCTGTTCTGCCTGCCACCTAACCGCACGCCCAGGAACATGTGTGCATCACGACGATGATCAACGTCGCCTACAACGGCGCGATCGCGACGGACGTCCTGGCCACGCAGCAGACCTTCTTCCACGAACGCATCTCCTTCGCGTACCAGGTCCTGCTGATCCTCGGCACGCAGACGGTCGGCTTCGCGCTGGGCGGGCTGCTGCGCCAGTTCGTCGTGTACCCGTCGTCGATGCTGTGGCCGACGAACCTCGTGAGCTCGGCGCTGTTCAACACACTGCACACGACGTACGGCGCGCGCGAGCGCGGGCACATGACGCGCCAGCGCTTCTTCGCGCTCATGTGCGCGGCGAGCTTCGTGTGGTACTGGGTCCCCGGGGTCCTGGTCACGTCGCTCAGCTTCTTCACGTGGGCGTGCTGGCTCGCGCCGAACGACGTGCGCGTCAACGCGCTGTTTGGCGGTGTGTCCGGGCTCGGGTATGGGATCGTCTCGTTTGACTGGACGGTGATCTCGTTCTTTGGGAGTCCGCTGGCCACGCCGTGGTGGTCGACGATGAACGTCATCGCTTCGGTCTTTCTGTGCTTTTGGATTGTGACGCCGATCATCTACTGTATGCTGCCGCATTCAACTCGTTTCTTCTATCCGCTTACCTCTTCGCCAGTCAGCAACACATTCTTCACATCCTACCTCCCGCTGTCCTCGTTTCTCGTCTTTGACAACACCGGCGCACCGTACAACACGACGGCCGTGATCGTCGACGGCGTGTTTGACGCCGCGGCCTATGAGGCCTACTCGCCCGTCTTTCTGTCGAGCGCGATGTGCGTCGGCTACTTTGTTGCGTTTGCCACCTTTGCGTCGTTGTTTTCTCATGTCTATCGTGCGTCTTATCTTTGTTGCCATCCCCGCACATTCAAACTGACATGCTTCCCCAGTCTGGCACGGCCGCGACGTCGTGCGCCGCTTCCGGTCGACGCTGCACACCGAGCGCGACGTCCACTCCCGCCTGATGCGCGCCTATCCCGAAGTTCCGTTCGTGTGGTACGCCGTGGCCGGTGCGCTGTCCGCCATCTACATCCTCGTCGCAGTGACCCTCGTCCCGGGCGATGCGGGGCTGCCGATCTGGGCTGCCCTCCTGGCGCTGCTGCTCGCGAGCCTGCTCGCGCTGCCGCTGTCGATCATCAAGGCGATCACGAACCAGTCGATCGGGCTGAACGTGATGGAGGAGATCCTCGCGGGCTACCTCGTGCGCGACCGGCCCGTCGCGAACATGATCTTCAAGGCGACGTGCCTCGCGGGGACGCAGCAGGCGACGAGCTTCGCGGGCAGCCTCAAGCTCGGGCACTACATGAAGATCCCGCCGCGCACGATGTTCGCGGTGCAGATGGCCGCGGTCGTCGTCACGTGTGTCGTCGTCACGGGCGTGAACAGCGTCGTGCTCTCGAACGTACCCGGGATCTGCACCGACGCCGCGCCGAGCGGCTTCGTGTGCCCCTCGACGCACGTGTTCTCGGATGCCGCACTGCTCTTCGGCGGCATCGGCCCCGCGCGCATTTTGTCCGGGACGTACCGCCACCTGCTGTGGGGCTTCCCCCTCGGCCTCCTCGCGCCGCTCCCGCTCTACCACCTCGCGCGCCGCTTCCCGCGCAGCCCGCTCCGCTTCGTCAACTTCCCGGTCTTCTTCGGCGGCGTCGCGGCGATCCCGGCCGTCTCCGCGTACAACTACGCCGCGTGGGGCCTCGTCGCGTTCGTGTTCAACTTCTGCGTGCGCCGCGCGCACTTCCGCTGGTGGATGCGCTACAACTACCTCCTCTCCGCCGGCATGGACGCCGGCCTCGCGCTCGCGTCGATCGTCGTCTTCTTTGCGGTTGCGCTGCCGGGCGTGCAGATCAACTGGATTGGGAACACGATCTGGATGAATACGGCCGATGCGAGGGGGCTGCCGCTGCGCACTGCCAACGGGACCTTTGGGCCCGCCACTTGGTGAGCGCCGGCTCCTGAACCCCCTTTCTGCTCGCACACTCCTTGTTTCTCTCTCATACTCACGCTCACTTATCTCTCTGTATCGCACGATCTCATACTTACACTCATTCCCGTCATACATACATTCCTTCCTGTCCTCTCATGTACTCAAGATATACCAAAAAAAAAAGCAGCACCCTTTACCTTTATAACCCGGATCTCGAGGATCCATTCCTGTGAATCGATTCTTTTCCCTTCAATTCGCGCGACAGAACAAAACGAGATTTCGAATCGCAGAAGGGAATCCTTACACAGAGATTTAGCGTTGTGTATCCGTCTGACACAGGATACTCTGCAGCAGAAGTGCCGCTCGAACTTCAGCTGTAGCGTATCTTATAGTCCCTTGCTCGACGTATTCACATTACGAAATATATGGAACCACAATCGTCACTTCTCAAATAGCACACCAAGCAAAACTACAGCAACTCATGCAACGCCCGGTCATACTGGTGCGGAAGATGTGCACTGCAGAGACGTGAGCCGCATGCACAAAGCAGCTGGAAGCACTGGACCCGTCGGGACGCACCTGAGCATGTCCTTCGCAAACACAATCTGGCCAAACACCTTCTCCACATCCAGCACCTCGAACAGCCTTAGCTTGTCCGCCTTGCCCGTCTGCCGGTGCTTCGGCGAGAAATCGTTGTCGCGCATCGCCCAGAGCACCCGGCCGGGCGGCACCATATTGGACATCGTCATGTTCGCCTCGAGGGTTTTGCGGACCGAGATGAACTGCGAAGAAGCATGAAAATCACAGAGCCACAAGCCGGGTAGCACCCACCCAATTCATGTCACCGCCGTCCCCCGCCTTCCAACGCTTTGCTTTCTCAGTCACGGCCGCGGACCCCGAAGCCGCGTCCGCGTCTCCCTGCCCGTCCCCCTCGCAAAGCCACATCGCAGCGGCAGCCAGATCTCGCACGGCGCCGAGCGACAGCCGCGCGACGATGTCGTGCGAGTACACGAAAGACGTGATCAGGTGCTCGGCCCGCTTGCCCAGCGCCGCGTCCACCAGAGACGGCGGCGCGAAGCAGAACACGGAGACGCGCCGGCCGACGGGCAGCCCGCTCGAGTGCACCGTCAGGCACGTCTGCGGGTCCGCCCACATCAGGCCTAGCAGCCCGGCCACGCCCGCGCCGAGACTGTGTCCGCACAGAACCAGCTCTATGTAAAATGTCATTACTCGCGAGAATGCCTGCCGAAGAGGACACACGCACCGTATCCGGGATTGTGATAGAGCGCTTCGTGGACAGCGAGCTGCACCGGCTTTCCGATTCCCCCCATCGCTTGTGCCATCCGCAGCATCCCGCCGTGGGCGTGATGAGACGTTGAGTCGGACCGGCGCGGGAACGCGAATTGGCCCGGGACAGGATCGTCCTCGACCACACCGGTCGTCGCAACCACAAACGGCTCCTCCTCGCAGGTCAAATCGACCGCGATCTCGTTGAGCGACATCGTGCCTGTGTATTCCTCTTAGCAAACTAGCAAGCGGCCAGAAATAAACAAGTTACCTCGCAAAACAAGCACGATCTGACCTCTGCTGTGGTCGGTGAGAACCCAGTACCTCGGCATAAGATGCTCAGTCCCGATCTTCGCCGTGGCGCGTACCGTCTCGGCCGAGGTGTTGGCATATCGCTCAAAAATCTCGTGGTCGTGTTTACCCAGCAGCACATCCCACCATGAATACTGCGGCTTCGCATCGACCGCTGCGGAATCACCACCCACCGCCTCGGCCTCCGATGCGTCGATGGCTTGAGCGAGGTTGGCCTCCTCAGAGGCTGTCGACGTCGTTGGACCGCTCAAGGAGACACCGAAGAAGAGCAGACTGGCTCCGCCGTAGCCAGCGAGTACGAGTTTAGACAATCGCCGTAGTGTCGATTTCAGCTCAGTATTGGGGACGAAGGGCCGTTTGGTAGTGGATGTACGCCCAGATGCGAAGAAAGATTGGGCCCGTGCTTCGCCGATATCCGCAGCCAGCAGCTGTCCTCTGTTGCCCGAAAAGACGACGTCCGACGTGACGCGGATCCGCGATCCGCTGAGAGCATGCAACACACGAATGAGCGTTCCGTCTAATTCAAGCGCAGCGCCGCCACTCACCGACGCGTGCGCTCCACGCCTCGCGATACTGAATCCTTCACATGCATCTCGCGCACGTTCTCGAGCCACCGCGCCTCGTCCCACTCCCGCGTGGCGCCCTGCAGTGCCGCCCACGCGACCATCGCACGCGCGATCTGCGCGAACCCGAACCGCGCGTAGCCCGCCGGGAGGCAGTCCGCCGCCGCGGGCGCGGCGAGCTCGCGGCGGACGAGCGTGAGGAACGACGCGAGCGAGAAGGACGCCTCGCTGCTCCCGGGGATGATGTGCGTCAGGACGTTGATCGAGCCGTGCGCCGCGAGCAGGGACGCGCTGGTGATGTACTCGCTGATGAAGATTGGCTTTCGGGGAGGGGGGGGGGGGAAAAGAGACATTCGTTCAGGATCGCGCGCTCGTGTGGTGGATGGCAGGACGGGGCTCACCGCTAAGGCCACCTGCTCGGCAAGCCCAAGGATCGTCGAGACGACGCCGCCGCCGACGGGCCGCGCGACAGGCAGGCCGCCGAAGAGGGTGTAGTCCACGACGGACGCGCTCGCGTTGACCGCGGCCGACGCCACGCCCCGCGTCGCCGCGAATCCCAGGCGCGTGCCGACCCTGAGCGCCGAGAACGTCGCGGAGGCCGCGACGGACGCGAGATCGATGCCCTGCCGGCCGAGTGTGTCCCAGCCCATGGTGGATCAGGTCGAGTCGTGGGGGAGTGTCGTCTGCATGAGGCAGGTGCAGGTGAAATGCTGCGGGAGAGAGGCGAGTGTGCGGTGCCATGTGATACTATCGCACGGCGCGAGCAAGCACGAACAAGCAACGCCTGTCGTCCGCATTAGGAAGGTGAGCTGGTGCATTGCACCTGCTTTGACTCCAAGGTGCGACGCGACGCGACAGAGGGTGACAGATGGAATGATGGCTGGAGTATTACAAGTACAGACGATGTGATAAATAGACCGAGTAGATAAAGTAAGATACATATCTAGAGTAGCAACAAGAAAGCAACAGGACACAGAACCGACGAACAGATCAGCCACCTCCCCCAGTGCCCCGTCTCCGCCGTGTCGTCCGTTTCGAAGGCGGTTCTGCGACTGCGCTAGCCGCATTGTCGGCCGGGATCTTCCGTTTAAGCGTGGCATTGGGCACGGGGGGAGTGCCCGTCGGGGTTGACGGGGCAGCAGACACGGCCGCAGCAGCAGTTGCTTTTGCCGGAATCATCTTGTGCTGCTTTTGAGGGGAGTTGTGGGCCGAAGGCGGCCCGTTCTGCGGCGAGCTTGTCGAGGCTGGCGTCTGTGCTGCATTTATGACAGACGACGGCGCGCTAGAGTACAATGTGTTGCCCTGCGCAGGTTGCCCAGCAAGTCCGAAGAATGCCCCGGGATTGCTCGAAAGGAGCCCAGGTTGCTCTTCACGCAATTTCTGGGCAAACGCTTTTAAAGCGTCTAGAAAGGTTCATCGATATGAGCTTCCAGTTCGAAGGAGAAAACGAGCAGAAACCTACCAATCGGGCCAACAGTCTGGTCTCTGGCATAAGATATCAACTCTGCCATTTGTCCAACGCTCTCGGCCAACTGCAAAAAAAGTATAAGAATCCAAGAAGGGATGGTGAAGAAAAGACTGCACGCACCTCTAGACAACGCATAGTGGCCTGCGGAATGCCAAACCCATTCACAGGCTCTCCTGGAATCGAACCAGTCTCAATCGGCACTCGCGGCTCGCCACGGTCCTCGTCGCCTCCGGCAGGAGGAGACGGATCATCTCCTCGCCGCTGGTCTGGCACGGGTCTGCGGCCGAGGATGGAATCGATCAGGACGTACTTGTCGTGTGACGTGGCATCAAACTCGAGATCGTCGAATTTGAGCACAAACGGCGTTGCACTGGTCGGGGAAAGAGAACACATCACAAGACGTGCTTTCAATGGCCCGCGCAGAGTGACGACATGCCCGTTGGTGTATCGGCATGTCCATTCTGCAGCAACGCACTCGACGATGGCATGCCCGGGGGAGGCTACTCTTTCTCGTGCACCATCGAGAGTCAGCGACATCGACTTGACACCAGACTGCGTGGTGACAAGAAAGAATCGTGGGAGGATGGGAACACCGATTTCTGGTCACTATTAGCTTTCACGCAGACATCTTCCACTGCACGACGCACCGAAAGGCTTGGCCTCGTTTTTCATGCTATCTCTCCACAACGTCAGCTTCATGACCGCTTTCGGCGTGAAGTACTCTCGTATTACCAGGTCCCAGTAGGAAACCTGCATTTTTTGACTCTGGGATTGCATTAGATTTCGCACAAAAGTCTTTGCGGGGTAACGCACTTGAGCCTGGGGGTTGATGGAGCCCAAGATTCCACTGAACTGCATCATCCGTAACACCCCTTGCCCGTATCCAATCGAGTACAACAAGGGATTGGCTGTCATGCGAGGGACCGGGGGACCTGGAGCCATTTCTGGAGGAGAGGCAGAGCCTGTCATCATCGTTCCATCGGAGCTCCCAGGTGCTGGAGGTCGAGGCGCTATTGCCGCCGGAGCAGAAGAGTTGGACGGTGGGGTGCCTTGAGCTGGAGAGGGCTGCATTGGCACCCGCCCTGGACGAGGCGTCAGGGTTCTTCCGGTGGGAGGTCCCGAGGGTGGCGGCTGTGATTCAGGACGGAGATCGTGGTGTTGGGGGGAGTGCTGCGGCGCACGGGTCTGTTGTTGCTGTGATGGAGGCCGGGGAGACATAAAGCCATAGTTTTCGTTGCTGTGATTCATCGACAGCTGCTGCGCTGGCGTGGGAGGAAATGCTCCCGGTGCGCGACCAGGTGTACTGCCTGAAGGAGGAAACGATTCGTTCATATTCAGTGGCGGAGTCGAGGAAGGTGGGAATGGGAATTGTCCGTTCCCCATCATCGGTCGCTGCTGGAACTGATTATGGGAATACTCCATGTCAAACATATGCGCCGGGGCCCGTTGTTGTTGTTGCTGGCCAGTCGGAAGGTTCATCACAGGCGTGTGCGTGCGTGGAGATGATGGAGGAGGAGGACCAGGATTCGGGAATGCATTCGCCGACATGTTCGATGGTTGAACTTGGTTGAGAGAAGGCGGCTGGCTCAAACTCGCCATGGGCGTCCCTCGCACTGGGGTAGGAACCATGCCAGACCGCATCATCTCAACCCGTTGCTGCTGCTGTTGTTGGTGCTGCAGACGTAGCATGTGTTGTTGATGCATTTGATGCTGCTGGTGCTGCTGCTGTTGCTGCTGCTGGTGCTGCTGTAACTGCTGCTGCTGCTGCTGCATCATCGACGGAGGCATCCCTCCCATCCCACCGACAGGGTTCGATACAACGCGTCGCACACCACCCATTCCACCCGACGGCATCATCCCAGCCGGAAAACCCATTCCTCCTCCTGGCATCTGAGGATTGCCCTGAAGTCCACCCATACCACCCATTGCCGGGTTCATGCCAGGTGGCCGTGCGCTTGGACCTGGTCGCATTGCCATGTTACGAGGGACCATGGCGGCATGTCCTTGCGGGAAGCGCATATCTGGACCACCTGGAAGCATCCCCATTGGTGGGTTGGGTCCACCGTGGGGGTTGGGGGGTTGCGGCTGCATGAAGGCAGCGTTGTTGAGGCCAATCATGTTGGGAGCGGTGGACTGGCGAATCATGGGGTTGTTCATGTAGGGGTCGATTTCAGAAGTTGGGAAGGCTGAGGGGTCTGCGGAAAGATATTGGCCAGAAGCTGACATGCAACTACTGAACTGCAGTCGCTAAAAACCGCCCGTCTGCCCAAGCGAGCAGCCTTCGATGGAGCGTGGTGGGAAGACGAAAGGGCCTTGAAATCTCGACGATCGCCGGCGCAAGTCACAGGTATTCGTGCAGGTATGAGATTGTCGAGGAAACAGTGGGCGTGTCGAATGGTGCGGCGTGGGGGAGAGATCGTCCGAAGAGTTGGTGTATTAGCGACCACGTGCCCAAACAGCCCTCGGCTCGGAGTCGAAATTCAATTCTTTCCCGCCTTCACCCATCAACTCACCCATCCCTCGGCCATGGTTCGAAAACTCAAGTACCACGAGCAGAAACTGCTGAAAAAAGTCGACTTTTTGAATGTAGTGCAAATCTCTTTTCATCTGTCTCTTTTTTTGAACTCAGTCAGTGGAAACAAGACGCCAATCTTCGAGAGATAAAAGTTATGCGCCGCTATCACATACAGGATCGCGAGGATTACCACAAGTGCGTCGAAGCCTCACCGACCACGACCTGCCTTTTACACTGTCTTTAGATACAACAAGTTGTGCGGCTCTCTACGCTCTTTCGCCCACCGTGTCTCCATGCTTCCCGCACAAGATCCGGTCCGTGCGCGAATGGAGGCCCAGCTGCTATCCAAGCTATACGATATGGGTGTCCTCAACTCGTCTGCAAAGCTCAGTGACGTCGATAACAAGCTCACTGTGGCCGCCTTCTGCCGCAGACGGCTAGCAGTGCAAGTGTGCATGCTGAAGATGGCAGAGACCGTGAGCGCGGTGAGTTTATTGCTCAAATTCAAATTATGCTTCTGGCCCGGTTTCTCATTCGAGAGGGTTTTAACTTATACAACTCAGGCAGTCAAGTTCATCGAGCAAGGGCATATTCGTGTTGGGCCCGACACTGTTTCCGACCCAGCGTACCTGGTGACTAGGTGTGTTCCAGGAGCATCGCGCACTGTATCCAGGACTAATTTGCACCCTGCTCAAGGCATATGCAAGACTTTGTAACCTGGGTGGATACATCGAAGATGAAGCGTACCATCATGAGATACAACGACGAGGTCCGCTCTTATCTCTCCGTCTGAGGTATTCTATTGACCTGTTTTCTAGTTGGATGACTTCGACTTGCTGTAAACTCACTTCCGCCTCGACATTGCGCCACATTCCATCTTGGTGTCTGCTCCATCATCCGTCATCCGTCTCGCCCTTGAACCCTGTTTTGGGGTGATCCATCTCGATTTTTGCCTCTGGCAAAGGCTTCAGACTTTACAAGCAGATCGACGGGAGGATTTGCATGGCTTTTGCTCCCATGCTACGATTACCAAATAGAGCGCGCTCTGCCGTCATACTTTCACGTGCTACATCATTAGGCCTTCCCATGGGGTGACCAATCCTCACATCCCTGCGTGTAAATAGACCAGCGGATACTCAGAGTTCATACATAATGGAGATTTGCTGTTCAACGCTCTGAGGATTCAGCATGTGGGTTGTCGAAAACAAAAACAATGGAGAGCAACACAGCCACATTCTCTAAGCTTGTCGTCAGGCCGGAAGCTTTGTTGACTTGTAACACCACCACGCCTAATTTTTCTTGGGTCCCGACATTCCTGCAAATCTAGACGCGCCGTAGCGCACTAAACACCCGACACGATGGCGGAGGCTGGCGATGGAAACATCAAAGTAGTCGTGCGATGTCGGCCCCTCAACTCTCGCGGTGCGTGGGCCGGTCGGAGGACGAGCACCATCCCCACTCACCAGCTAGCTCGACTGCAGAACTCGCTCGCGGGGCGAAGCCCCTCATCCGCATGCAAGGCAACCAGACCATCATAGACCCGCCCGAAGCCGGCAGCGCGCAGGACTCGAAGCGCTCGACGGAACGCAAGAGCATCCCGTTCAGTTTCGACAAGAGTTATTGGTCTGCTGGGCCGCGCGATGAGCCTGGCTACTGCTCGCAGCAGATTCTGTACGAAGATGTGGGGGTGGAGCTCCTAGACCATAGTTTCAACGGATTTAACGCGTGTATCTTTGCCTGTGCGTCGCGCTCGTGATATTCCATGCCTCAGCTGATGCTCGTTCTCAGATGGCCAGACTGGTGTGTGGACTTCTGACTCGGAAATGGCGCGTGCACTAACCGTCGACAGGGTCTGGGAAATCTTATAGGTGCGTCTGCTCTCTATAGACGCATATTTCATCGCACTCAATGGAGTGCAGTATGATGGGGTGTAAGCTTTCCTGTGCGGGCGATTTTCGACATCCGTTGACAAAAAGAGGCAGACGGTCCTGACAAGGGTATCATTCCCCTCACTTGTTCGGAACTCTTTGTGAGAGTGAATCAGAAGAAGGCGGACGACCCAAATGTGAACTTCACGGTTGAAGTGTCCTACATAGAAGTGAGTGATTTGTGTGGAACGAGTTGAGTCATCTTCTGACCCCGCCTAGATCTACAACGAGAAGGTCAGGGATCTGTTGAATCCCAAGAACACGGGTAATCTGCGTGTTCGCGAACATCCCAGTCTTGGGCCATACGTCGAAGATTTGTCCAAGCTTGCGGTCAACAGTTATGACGAGATGATGACTCTCATGGACGAAGGAAACAAGGCGCGCACAGTCGCCGCGACCAACATGAACGAAACCTCGTCACGTTCACATGCCGTATTCACTCTTCTCCTGACCACGAAACGGCACGATGTGGACACCAACATGGACACTGAGAAAGTGTCACGAATCAGGTCTGCCCCTCTCTTCCTGAAAGCGAGTCTGAGGAACTGACCGGCTGCAGTCTTGTCGATCTCGCAGGTTCAGAGCGGGCCAACTCGACAGGTGCAACGGGACAGCGGCTGAAGGAAGGAGCTAACATCAACAAGTCGCTCACGACGTTGGGAAAAGTCATTTCCTCGCTCGCACTGGCCAGTCAGGCGGACACCAAGAAGGGCAAAAAGGGCAAGGGCGATGAGTTCGTCCCGTATCGAGACTCTGTGAGTAGGAATGACTTGAGAAATGAACGTGACTTAGCGAGACGTGTCAGGTGTTGACCTGGCTGCTCAAAGACAGTCTAGGAGGAAACTCGAAGACTGCGATGATTGCTGCCATCGCACCCGCCGACTATGAAGAGACGCTTAGTACACTGCGGTACGCCGATCAAGCGAAGAAGATCAGGAACAAGGCGGTCGTCAACGAGGATCCTAACGCGAAACTGGTGCGCGAGCTGAAAGAGGAGTTGGAGATGCTTAGAGGTGTGGCTCGTTGGTCTGAATATCTCCTGCATGCACTGACCATGGCTGTGCTGGACAGCTCGGGTCTCCGGAGCCGCGAGCGAAGAGGTCTTCGATCCGACTGTTCCCCCCGAGAAACAGAAGGTCACGTACCAGACGCGCGACGGAAAGATCAAGACTGTCACCAAGGCTGAGCTGCAGGACCAGATGGAGTCGAGCGAGAAACTGATGCAGAGCTTGAATGAGACCTGGGAGGAAAAGCTGGAGCGAACGCAGGAAGTGCACAAGGAACGTGAGAAGGCTTTGGAGGAGCTCGGGATTACTGTGGAGAAGAATCTCGTGGGTGTCCACACGCCCAAGCGGGTATGTTCTTTCCCTTTTTTATCGGCCTCGAATCCTGGGATTAATCAGTTGTGATCCCAGATGCCGCACTTGGTTAATCTGGTATGGCGCTTCTTCTTCGTTCTCGGGACCGCTGATCATTTCATTTCCGCAGAATGAAGGTCCTGACTGGCTGATGTTTCGTTTCGTGAAGACATCTCATGTTTCTCCTTAGATCCGTTGATGAGCGAGTGTTTGATCTACCAGATCAAACCGGGCAAGACGACGGTATGGCACGCGATCGTTCTATGACCCGAGTTCTCACCGCGTTGCTCCAGGTCGGTCAGATGGACAGCGAGAAGCCGGCTGCGATACGGCTCAGCGGGGACAATATCTTGGAGGAGCACTGCTACTTTGAGAACATTGATGGCAAGGTCACACTCCATGCCTTGCCCAACAGTGTCACAGTGCGTCATCTTCTGTGTCCTGTTGAGTCAAACCGACGACCTCTCAGTTCCTGAACGGCAAACAAATAACGCCGGACCAGGTGGGTCCAGCATCTCGACGTTGCGTGCTGTCTCATAGCTTTACTTAGCCGTACAAATTACGATCCGGGTTCCGAATCATTCTAGGTTCGGCTCGATTCGCTGGCCTGTGACATTCCATTTTTGACCTCTTATCTCCAGGAGAACACCATGTTTTCCGATTCAACGACCCGGAGGCTGTCCGAAAGCAACGGCGTCGAGCGACTCTGAAATCGAATCTGCAAATGAGCATCTCGGCGGCCGATCTCGAAGCAGGGGGTGAGGGCACACCTGCCACCCGACCTGACTCGCCGGCGACGTCTGAAGACGAGGCTGATGTCGACTGGACATTCGCCAAACGAGAGGCGGCGCTGGCACGACTGGGCCTCGATCCTACGCTGGACAATCTCCCAGACGACGACCTGAACAAGCTGTACGAGAAGATCACCAAAGTGAAGACGATGCGCGATCACCACATGAAGCCGTCCCGGCCCGAGAGCAGCATGAGCATGAGTATGAGCATGAGCCAGGCAGATGATGTGTGGAGCGAAGCGGGGCGGCCGTTCTCGAGCGATGCGACGGATGACACAAGTGTGGATGCTGCGCCCAGCCTCGGCAGTCCTGAAGTCGATGCTCCACTGAAGGATGTCCAGAACCAGCTTGAGAACCGGCTGCAGCTGATTGCGGAGTCGTCGCCGGAAGCGGAAGATTTGAAGGAGGAGAAGGCCCATATGGAGCATCAGCTGAACATGGTCAAGACACAGATGCGGCGGCTGATCGATGCTCGTGCGCGAGGCGAGCTGAATGTCGAGGCCGCTGCGTTCGAGCCGGTGATCTACTCTGCCCGGCAGTTGCGGTTGATCCGGAAGGTGCTCGACCGATGGCGAGCTCATCGAGCATTTTCGATGGCCGAGGTGGTGTTGTCCAATGCTGTTATGGTCAAGGAAGCAAACATCATCAGGTGAGCGGCAGTGCTTTTTCCTCGGTTGCGCAAATGGGATCTGACCGATTGCAGCAAGGAGCTTGGGAAGGATGTGTCTTACAACTTTACTATTTCTGCAGGAGGGTCGTTGGCGGGGCCTATATCTGCTGTTGACACGATCGCAGGCTTGGACGAGTTTGGGGACGTCGCTGACCGGATGCTAGCGTCTTCCACGCAGCCTTCTGTGGCTGTCAAAGTGCTCGACAAGCGGCATAACGCCATCTACACCTGGTCGCTGGACCGCATGCAACAGCAGCTCGGCCGCATGAGGAATCTGACTACTTACATCGACCGACCTTCTTACACCCAGCATTTCTCTTCTGACGAACCATTTTACGACACCACGCCATCAGAATACTCTTTCGTTGGCAATGCCCTAATTTCGCTAGCCCCGCTTTCCCGCCGGCTGTCGTCGACATCGACTGTCCCCATTTTCTGCCGGTACACCGCCGAAGCGATTGGATCCTGTCGTGTTGACATAAAAATCGTCCACTTCCAATTGCCGGCGAAGCACGCCTCGTCTTCGACCCGGACTTCTTCGCCAGGCACGGTACCTCCTGGTAGCAAAATTGGATTCTTTCTAACGGTCGACACGGTCAAGGGTCTTTCGTCGCATGACTTTTCCGCAGTGCACCTCCAGGTTCGCCTCTCCTCTTTTGTTGGGCCGACGCTCGTCTCCGAGGAGCTCTTCCCTTCGACGGCCCTGGACATGGACGCTTCGACGCTCTCGGAACTTCGCTTCCGGCGCCATTTCTCGATCGTGGCGACATCCAAGGTGCTTGCTCACATGAAAGAGGGATATGCCCCGATCGAATTGTTCGCGACCGTCCGCCCAATGTATCTCGAGCGTCTCGAACGGTGGGACGAAATGCGGGAACAAAAGCTTCGTCCTCGGCCGTCGACACCCGTCGCAGAAACGACTAGTGCTGCCGCTGTTGTCCCGGCTTCGCTGCCGCTGATGCGCCGGTCCGAGACGGACTTTGTCGTGCAACAGACACATGACGTCGTCGCCTGGCTGCAGATGTGCGAGCTGGGGCCGGACGGCCAGTACGCTCCGGTCCCGGTGCTTCAGCGCGGGAATCTCGACCCCGGGTGCTTCGTTCTGCACCAAGGTCTGCAGCGGCGGCTGAATTTGATGCTGTCATCCAATTCTGGTCAGCAGCTGCCTTGGCTCGAGTTTACAAAAGTGCGCATTGGGCATGTGCGGTTGTTGGATATGAACGGGAGAGTGCACGAGTCGACGTCTAGGGCGATGGTCACGCTTCCATTGATGAAGGAACAGGTGCTAGAATTCAAGCCCGACGGGACTGGGCAGCTGGCGGCAGAAGCGTTGTGGGACACTAGCATCCACGATTCGCTCCTGCTGAACCGGGTGACCGAAGCAAGCCAGCGCATCATTCTGCAGCTCAATTGGGCCGTGGCTGTGGACACCTGCATCGACCCGGTGCAGTTCACGATGGACGTCGGGATCACGATTCAGACCCGAGACGCGCGGCCGCCATCGAAGCTGATGGCTTTCCTGGGCTCGACCAAGATCCTCAACAAATCGAGCACGCTCTTCGCGGTCAAGCTCTCGCCGCCGCTGACCCGCTCGCCCAAGGATCTCTGGAGGCTGGATACGTCGGAAAAGTACGTCCGTGGCGAGGAAGCGCTCGGTTCGTGGAAGCCCCGCGGTGTTTCTGTCGTGCAGGACTACTCGAGGCTCGTATCGACCGAACGTCGAGCAGCCGACGTTCAGGCCATCCGGGTGTTGTTGACCAGTTCTCCGCCGCCCGAGGTCAATCCCGAGACACTGGCATGGAAGGCGGATGACTTGGTCAAGAAGTCGGTCGGGCTCTGGCAGAAACGATTTGGACATCGCGGAGAGGTAGGCTTTCTGGTTCCTGGGATATTGCAGTGGCGCCTGACTCCATGTCAGATCATTCTCAGCCAGGACCCTTTGGAATCGGAAGAATTATCGAAGCCGTCCAAGAAGAAGCCGGCCGGGTTTGTTGTGCCTGAGGAGAGCCTCAAGTTGATCTCGGAGACGAAGGTCATCCCGCGAAGGTCAGTTGTGCCGCATAGAGAGAGACGTCGGAGACTAGTTATGCTCATGCTGAGACAGCGACGCACATGGCTCCACAAAGAAGGGGCATCTGCTGATTATGACTGACGCGAGCCAGAACATCTGGGAGAAGCGTTGGTTTGTGTTGAAGCGGTTCGTTGGCTTGTTGAGACCGATGTTCAATTGCTGAATACCAACCATGCTCAGGCCCTATCTCCACATCTACTCCCACTCCAACGAGCTGGAAGAAGTGGGCATCGTCAGTCTAGATGGTGTGAATGTAGAAAGCGATCCACACAAGGAAGCACTTCTTGGAGTGAGTCGTTGACTGTCAATGGAGTATCCACTGACCGGTTTGTGATCAGAAGCCGTTTTCGTTCACGCTCTTCACGTCCTCAAATTCACACGCTCTCGCTGCTCCCAGCGCCAAGGAGCTCCAGTCCTGGTGCACGAAATTGGATCCGACACGACTACCTTCATGATCTATTACAGTAACGGCCCTGCACATATAATCTGTTCACCCTCGTTGTCTAGATGTTATCTTTACCCATGTAATACACTATCTACTTGCCACACTCCTTGTTTTATGGGATTTCGGCTGATTATACAATATTATGGAATCGGACGGAGAGGTTCTTTGACGCTGTGTTTCTCGATGGATTCCGTCACTGAAACTTGCCGGCGGCGGGTCGGGATCGCGCTGATAAACACTGGCAGCTCGCAGCTCGCAGCCGTAGCCGCTCCCGTACTCGTCGTATGGCCGGCGGCGCAGCGAAAAGCATCACGGATGATGACCGAGTTGGACAGCGGGATTCCGGCTGGTGCTAGGATTCCGCCCTCCCGGGACATTATGTACACAGGGTCGACGTTTTCTGGGTGTCATTGGAACGAGCGGGCTGAGCGAATATGTATGTATGTATGTACGTGCAGATGAGTGTGCGAAGGAAGTCCCATGACATGACAAGACATGACGAGGATGTCGCTGACGCCAAGGGATCCCGTCCGTGTCCGCCGCCGTCGCCGAGTGTTGACGCTGCGGCTCCGACGAGGGATTGATGACTCCTGCCTCCTTCTTTCCTTCCTGCACGCACCCTCCCTCCGCCCGAACTTTCCTGGCACCATCCGGTTCTTCGCTGCGAGGTAATGAGGATTATGTGTTCACGCTCCGGGCTTCGAGGGAACATATGGAAGGGAAGTAGTAGGTAGCAGTAGTACAGTCCTGTCCGTCTCGCGTCGTCTGCTCGGAGTGACGTGTGGTAATTCGGGGCGAGGGAAGATGTAATTTTGGTGGTGGTGGGGGGATGGCGGTCATTGGAACAGCATCGTGGCCGCCATGATGAGACACGCGAGTGACACGTACGGCGAGAGTCGTTCGCCTGCGAGGTATGGGCAGTCAGCGGGGGTGCGTGCTGGGTCAGGGAGAGGCGCTGCGCGGAAAACGCACCAATGCGCGCGGACATGAAGAAGAGCCCGAGGAAACCGGTCTTGTTTCTGTCGATGAGGCTCGGGAAGAGCGCGCGGACGTAGGTGCAGGTGCAGATTATGAGCAGTATGACGAGCAGGAGCGACTGGAAGTTAAACAGAGCCGACTGGTGGGGGACGTCAGCCTTTTCGTAATGGAAGCGGGGATTTGTAGCTCACCATGATGCGTATGACCTGGACCAGTGCGTGAAGTGGAGTGAGGTGTCGTGTTTCCACGTGAGGGCAGCAAGCGGGCCTGTGTGATTTGCACTGCCACTTGAGGATTTTACCACGATCCGGGCCGGGAACGGTCAACGGGGACTTCAAACTTCGTATCTCAAGTGGAAGAAACTCGGGAAGATGGTCATGCAAGGTTGCGTTCGCGGAGAATTATTAGTGCGGCGGGAGCTAGACCACTACACCACTGATATCAGACACTAAGTATGGAAGACTGGGCACATCACTCGAACTCCAAGGCACGACTAGTAGGTCATGTTCACGCGCTTGTTCCCAAACTCGTCCCATCGCCTCGTCACGACATCGACAACGAAGTGCGCGACATCGCCCCGTGAAATGGAGATTCCCTTCGTCTCCCGCTCGCTGACCCGATACATCTTCCCCTTACCCTTCTTCGCTACCTCGTCCGCGACGCACGGACCGTCCGTCAGGAATCCCGCGCGGATGATCAGGACCGAGTGCAGCGATCCCGGCTGCGGAAGGCCGGCGCGCTGCGTCCAGCTCGCGCCGCCCATCACGTCCTCGGGCGGCTCGCCGAGCGCCTTGGTGTCCCACGCCCACCCGGCGCAGTGCGCCGCGACGCGCTCCATGCCGAGCTTGTCTTCGTGCGGGATGTTGAGCGTCGCGTACAGAGGCTTGAGGATGAGGGGCAGCGCAGAGAACGCCGTGGGGCCGATGCCTGTCGACGAGAGGGAGATGATTTTCGGCTGGGGGATGGTCGTGGGCATCGTGCAGAGAAGGTTGAGGTAGCATTGGGTGACGAGGTTCGGCTCGCTCATCGTGAAACCCTTGCGGATGCTGAAGCCGGAGGGAACGGTGCCTGGACGAGTCGTACCAAGTCAGCGATCGAGGTTCTGTATGAGGGACGGAACAAGACGACGTACCGACGGTGAAGACCACTGCGTCGACGGCGCCGGCTGCGGTCCATGCACGACGCGTATCGGCTTCGTTCAACGCATCTCCTTTGATCAGCCGAGCGCTACCCGCCTGGACGTATTTCTGGATGGTGGCGTCCTTATCGAAGACAGATGGGGAGCGCAGAAGGAAAGTCACTGTGGCTCCCATTTCTGGATCCGATGTCAGATTGAGTGTCGGACGGGAATGAAGAGAAACGGTACCAAGAAAGCGGATAGAAGACAAGTACCCGATGTTGCGGGAGCCGCCAATGGTGAAGATGCTGAGCGACGACATGGTTTATAGTGTGATGCGTGAGGGTGAAGGCGCTGTGTAGATGGGATGGACGTTGTATTGGATCTCTATTCAGCGGCCTCTCTTATTCAGAGGGCTCGGTGGAACGGAAAACAGCTGCATCGCAGTTGACAGTGCAATTCAATGGTTTGAAGCGTGTCGGGTGAACGCAGCAGGAAAGAATGTCCGGCATCAGGAAGATAGCGCGTAAACATGCTGACCTGATGATCTCCGATTCACCGACGCGCCGTCTTGATAAGATGGGGAATTTTCGTGGCGACAAGGGAAATGCTTACTTGCCTTTTCGTCTCTGGCGAGCCGTGGGTAGTGCAAGTTTCTAGACAGAGGATTATGTCCGAGCCTGCCTTACGACGAAATGTCCATCACGTGAGGTCCAAGCGAGTTCTCGCCGTGTCCACGCTGGGTCCACCGTCGATCTTCGGTGGCGGAAGAGTACAACATGTCAGCCAAGAAAGCTGTCTAAGAGTGCCGGGCATCAAGAAGCGCAGGTCTGCATACGTCTCTCCCTTCGAGCCGGGAAACATACCGGAAGGGTTTGGGGCGCACGAAGAGGGTGTTGATCATCGATCGTCGCCGGGCCTTCGCACGATCACCCACTTATGGTTTTAGCTCATATCCTGGCTAGAGTGTCATCGGAATGACTCTCACATGTACATCTATGATAGCTTACTTGAAGCACGGCGTGCGCGGGTTCTATGCTGAAATTTCGTGACGACTATTCTACAAACAAGTTCTATGCTGGTTCCGAGGTAGAGTAAAAGTGAGAGGAGCGAATAAAGATAATATATAGATAGTCCGCCGAGTCCCGAGTCCCGTAGAAAGAATGGAAGTGAGGAAGGGGCGCGTGAGGAGTCGCCCTCAGTCGCAAGCTTCGGCGGGAATGTCATTCTGCCATCGTTGGTTAGTGCCAGAACCACCAGCGCAGACTCGCTCGACTCACTTGTCGGATGAAGGTCAGCATATGACAGGTGATGTAGCCTTTAGCAAAGCCGGCACCGGCGTATGCGAACAGGTACTGCCACTTGCGTTTGAATGCGTCGTAGTCTGCCCGGTTGCGCAGTCCCGGGTAATCCTGGGATACGAGATCCTGCGAGAGATTCGCCTCGAGCCGCCGGCCCCATTCCCTGAGCGTCCGTGGGTAGTGGGCAGCGTGGTTCTCGACACCTTCAAGTGTGAATCGGCCTTCAGAGCCGACTTGAGCTGCGGTCACGAGCGCGGTGGCACTGGGGAGACAGGAGTTGGGCCACATATACCGTCGCATAAAGTCCTCAGATCTAGTTTAAGGGTCAGCGCTGCCGTGTGATCAGGAGGCCAGCAAGCTCACTGATAGCCGGAGTATCGACATTCAGGGAACGTTGATGCACTAATCACGACTGTTGCGTGTGAAGACTTTAGCGCAAAGTCGACAAGCTTGAAGTACAAGTTGTAGTATTTTGAGCCGACGTGCTGAATGGCGGTCAATCAATGACGACAAGAAAGCGAAAGAAATGACGGACCTCGAGCATCTCAATACTCACGAACGCGTCGAATGCTTTTTCGAACTCGGCGGGGATCTCACGGTAGTCCATCAGGTGGACTCGAATCTTGCCCTCGAAGCCGGCATCCCTGATACGTTCCTCGGCGAGGGCCTTTTGCTCGATGGAAAGGGTGAGGGTGTCGACCTCGCAGCCGAAAGTGCGTGCAGCCTGTGGATCATGTCCATGTGATGAGTTCGGGTCTTAGAGATCCCAAGCAACGCACCTCGATGGCCAGACCCCCCCAGCCACTGCCGAACTCCAGGATGCGGTCACCGGGTTTGACGCGGGCTTTTGTGAGAACATGCCGGATCTTGCGAAGCTGGGCTGCTTCGAGGTCGCCTGGCGTGGGCCCAGATGTGAGGTCACCGCGGACACCCCCTTCGGCATCACTCCAGAGCCCGCAAGAATACATCATCTCCTTGCTGAGGAAGGCCTGGGTCGCGTGTTAGAACAGAAGACACATAATAGCCATGACATACCTTGAACAACTCGTTCGACTGATCGTAGCTCGCGATGACATTCAAGCGAGCCTGAGATCGCGTCTGGCCGAGCACGTTGTTGTATAATGCCGACACGGCGGACGAGATCTTGGCGACGGTTGATGATAGCGTGGCCTCCATGCCCGCCTGGTTTTCGAGCCACAGCTGGAAAGATGTCGGCACCAGGACACCGACCGCATGAAGAAGAATCTTACGTTCATTGCGCTTCGAAGATTTGAAACTTCGACATCTCCAATCATGAAGGCTTCGCTGACTGCGAGAATGTTGAGGAGGGGATAAACAAGGGCAGAATGTCGAGATACTCACAGCCGAGATCACCAGATCTGCAACAGAAGCACGTTAGGGCTCGACAAAGGTAAATCTCGGCAAAGTCCGCGTACAGTATGAGCCGCAACCAAAAGTTTTCGTTGACGACTTTCATGTGGACCTCATTGCAACCCTTGCCGCGCTGGCCATAGAAACGGGTGCCCTCAGAGTCGGAGAGCGTTAGGTGGCCGACGGTGATAGCGTCGTCGAGCACGGAGAGGATGGAGGATCGCGCTAGAGAGTAACACAGACGCGTCAGAAACGCGTCGGGACGCGAAAGCAGAGGGAGAGTCGCGTCTCACCGAATGTGCAGACCCAAGAGTAGGGGCTGAAGGAGAGGGCGAGGAGCGAGGACGAGGTGGACTGGAGGGCCTTGGACGACGGCGCGAACTTGGGTGGGACGCACGACTGGGAGATGGTCGAGGGCATTGTCGCGGAGGCGGGGGCGGATGGATGGATGAGGAAGTGCGAGATGTCGGACGAGACGACGGCTTTTATGTTCGGTTGGATTTGGGAGTGCCATTTTTCTTCGCGCTGTGGGGCATGTCGTATCGAGATCGGCATCGGCTGGAAGTCACCACAGAATTCCTATAGACTCCTTGGCCAGGACCAGCCATCCCAATCTGGCGTCACCCAAATCAGGAATGCAGACTGGCTCTGAGTTCGAAAAAGGTAAATGAATCCCCACTTATTCAAACGCCCAAAAGCGCACCTCAAGGCAGGAAGGTAGCTCGCATCTTTCCACGTGCGATTGCCTTTTCTTCTCACGCCGAATGAATCCCAGGATTCCTCCCGGGATTCCCTCTTCCCCACACTCTGTCACCGCGATTATCCCGCCTCGTCCGTCCATGTTCCATGTCGGGGCTGTGGCGGCACTCGGTCACCCCAGTCCGTCCGGGTCGCCGCGGCCGCCGCCCGAGCCGCGCCGACCCTGTCCAGCCAGTCACCTGCGAGCGTTTCCCCCCTCGCTCTTCGGCTGCGTTGTCGCCGATCTCTGCGTTATTATGTCCTCACAACCCGGAAGGATAGCAAACAGTCCCGTGAGAGCATCAGATGTCGCGACAGCCGGTGCGGGACAAGTCGGACTTTATTTGGTGGGGCATGAGCGTGCATGGCAAAAAAGCGACGACTTCTGCACACTGGATTTCGATCAGGAATGTCTCGAGGCCCACAGCCGGTGGCAGGTGCCCGATGATAGAAACAAGACGACATCTATTCTGCGGAGGTGATGATATGCGCGGAGTAGCACAGAGAACCTGTTGACGGCGAACTTTTGCGAGGGACAAGCTTGGGAGATGGCGTGCTCAGTCGTATCGTGACTCCCCGGCACGATCAAGAATGCGTGATGGCGATCAGCGCCACCCGCATCTCTCTCTCTCCTTCGGAGTCTTTCCTGTCGGCTGGGAGTCTTGGTGTCACGTTTCCCCTCGACAACGCACCGGCCACGGGCCTCGATTTCATGTCCTGTTTTGTTTGACATTTCGCATGGTGTCTCCATGTGTTCTTCGATACATTTCACTCTTCCACTTCGGGTTATTCACAGGCTAGACACAGACACGTAGAGACAAAGACACTGTCGCGCTCTGACACACGCGCCGCCTGGAAGCGAACATCGCCGCGAGTTGATTTTCCTCAGACTTGGCACTCGGCCGGGGGATCCACCAGTGGCGCGAGCAACTCGATTCAGCCTCGCTTCCTGCATGGCGAAGACGGGGGAATAAATGATCGTGACTTGCATGCACAGGAACCGTCGCAGGTCCGCAGCAGTCCACTCGAGTGCGGTCCTCGAAGCCTAATGAGTTTCGCACCTTCGACCCAACCCAATGCAATGTAAACAACTGGTCGCACAAACGCCTCGGTTGGTCGATCTAGAACCACTGAAACCTTAACGCACAGAATGTGTCAAGCGCAGGAGCATTGAGTTTGCATAGCATAGTCTCTTCCTGCGGCGTGACATCGGGGGTGTAAATGTTCTTTCTCTGCAACCGCCAAGAGAGTTAGTTAGTGCGACGAGTGTCCATCGGTGGCCCCGCGAACGTTTGGTCGTTGAGCCGATCCGATGCGGCCCGCAAGGTGCGCCTGATCATTGGAACCCATCGCTGGTCTGGCCTGTCTTCTTTCTGGGATGATTCATTTTCAGGCATATTGGGGATTTGTCGGCTGTCACGCCGAGACGTTGCGGGAAGATGGCAGAATTCCCAGGCCGAGATAGCAACATGCGACTTACATACGACTTACGTGTGGGCGGACATATGTTCGGGTTCCCGGTTGCAAGCAAATATATCTTGCGGAGGTAAGCAACGTAAGTCCTGACATTCGGAGCCCAGCCGAACCCGCCATCGTAGTACATATGACCTGGAGATCACTGCGCGACGTGGGCCCGAAATGAGGTCAGCCCGGGCAACCAACGACTGGCTAGCATTCTTCGCGAGAATCTTAGCGCCTTCTCAGAGTGATCGACGCGGGTCCAGAGGGTTTGAATTGAGAGACCGAAACGTAAAGTGGAGGCCGATGTGCGAAGCTAAAGATCGGGGGCGAGGTGACTTTCTTCTTGATGCATTCAACCTCCGAGTTATCTCTTGCGCCTTCACCCTTCATTCATTTGCACTAGCTTCAATTCAATCCAACGGGGCCTTCAATGGGGAAACGGAAACGACAGTTGCGTCCTCTCGCAACAGACTACGCGCACAGACGCAGATGTGATCCCTTGAACGCTCACTGCCAAAACGTCGGCCAAGTTAGATGCGCGTCTCAGAGTTGCGCGACGGGTGCAACAGAATAATATAGCCGATTCGCGACGTCTCCGACCACCCAATCGAGGCCTACACGGACGGACATCGAAACCGAGTTGCGAAAAAGCGGTGATTATTTCAACGACTCACCCGTCACCAGATTTTCGCCTGTGACAGCGCTACAGGACCAGATTTTCCACTGATGGGACTTGATAGCGCGCAGATCTAGCGCCTGGAAGCGAATCAGATAAAAAGATGATAATATTTGGAACACCAGGCAGACAACGACTCACATCGCGGATCTCGGACTCGCTCATAGATCCCCGGAGATCCCGTTTGTTCGCAAAAATAAGAAGAGTATGGAGGCCGGGAATTATATGCTGATAAGCGGAGGACATATCACTGATACGCGAAAGTTTGCCGACATGGCATCAATGTCATGATGCGCTCTATGTCATGATGCGCTCTGTCTGGACCCCGAACGCTGAAGTGTATTACTAGCATTGACACGCCTACGGAGCGTATGAGCGCGCAGCTGTACGGGGAGAGACAGGGGGCTAGTCGGAGGTCGTGGGGAGGGAGCTGCGGCTCGAGCTCGCGCAGTATATTTGTGGGATTCTGATCCTAACAAGGTCAGGCTCGGGGAAATGGGCTTAACTGAAATGGGCGGGGGCAGCAGCGAGCAACAGGGGGAGTAAAGGGACAATAGAACAGGCGATGGGACGATAATGACGACGGAGGACAGGACGAGAGGACGATAGAACGACGGGGAGATCAATATGTATGTCTGTAGCACGAAATGGGGGTTTGGGGGCGATGTTGGGAAAATAATGCAGAAGCAGGCGCCGAGAAAGCGAGATAGAAAGTACTGGGAAGTCACTTTAGACTCTAGAGAGTGGGTGAAGAAGATTTCTTGTTTTTCTTGTACTGTACTACAGGTCTTTTATACTACTGTACCGTGCCAATCAAATCGTCAGGGGGTGTGATGCGTGACACAAAAGGTCAATTCGTCAATTCGTCAGGTCCCCCCATGACATGTGACATGTTGATTTTTTCGTCAGGTCATGCATTCACCTCCCTATGAGTTGCTTGCAACTTGATCTGAAGCTATCTGTGTGATAGCCCCAGACAGACTCAAAACAACACAGGGAAGGGTACACAAGTATTTTTAACACTTCAGCTGAACCCCACAAGCCTTATTTATTTCCGAACGGAAAAATGAATTCGTCACCTGAGCATGTGATGCGTGACATCAAAACAAATTTCGACTTCGTCAGGCAGCCTGTGACGCGTGACTGACGATTTGATTGGCACGGTACAGTAAGTGTGAATCAAATCCAAAGGAGATAAGTAACTTGAACCTCCTGTTGATATGGTGACCATTGAGCTCTATGTTAATTTATTTCTTTAGTCAGTGCTGAATTTTGCCGAAATGAATGAGTCCTGTGAGCACAACAAGGAGACGAACTCCGAAATAGGACCCCGCCGGAGGCATCCAGTGATGATCAGAATGATCACGTGCAACAACCTTGATGAGCTCGCTGACAAATCCATTGAGATCTTTTCGTGCACGTGATCGATTGATTTCAGGGCTAGGGCGCATCACTGCTCGTCAGCATGTATGTACTACCAATGATCATTGAAATCCTGAGAGTCCTCTTTGTCCGAGAACCATGCGTACAATGCATGAGCGTCATCCGGTAACTGGGAGTTGGGCATGGGATACACTTCGGGCTCGATATCGTTGATCATTGCGTTCAGACGTGCGTGATGTTCAGGACCTCCGAAAGGAGACGAGTCAGTGAACAGTAAGGTTCCCAAGTAATGGAACATACCGAGACCATCCCCATTGTTGACTCCACCCATATAATAAGCACCCTCTCCGACGACCCCCTCACCGCCCTGCAGTTCCTGCAAGTTTGGGAGAAGGGGAATGTTTTTATCGACCGGCTGGGTCAGCACATGCCCCCACCTTGCATCGGCACTCTGATCGATATTGTTTGTAAGGGCAACTCCTGCCAGCCCGAAGGAAGAGAGCACACAGCACACAACAACCTCACATGAGTCTGAGCACAGAGGGGGATCCTTAGAGACTATCAAATACAAGGGAGGTATACTACTCACCTGAGCACAGAGGGGGATCCTTAGAGAACGGTTCAAGGATCCATGTGCCCAGGTGTCACACTATATAGTCAGCTGTGACAAGTGACTGATGATGATGGGATATCACTGCCATGGAACAATGGCAGATGACAAGTAGATAATGACAAACCCAGATAAGATAGTGAGTGGCTCAGAGGGGCCAGTGATGGCCAGCTCCTGAGACACCAACAGTGGAAGGCCACACTGGAGGAGCCCAGCGGCCAGGCCAGTGCCCGGCCGGCCAGTGGAGACATTGGAGGCGAGGACCAATGCCCAACTGGGAAGAGGGGTGGTGCAGATGAGCGCAAGGGCATCTGGTACGAGCCTGTACGGCAGTAGACCACATCCGCGGGGAGAAGGCCGAAGTGAAGGGGGAGGAGTGCATACGGCAGTAGCACTCCCTGGTGCAAGGAATCGGGCTTGGCTAGACCGCTTGCGGGGATTCGAGGGAGATGGCCGGGGGAAGAAGGGAAAGGGCGGATGTTGGCATGGATGGAGATGAGGATCGGAGGAGGAGGAGGAGGCTGGGTGATCGACAGGTGAGCAGGCACGGGTCGGCAGAGAGGGTGCAGTGGGTCACGTGCATGGTCACGTGCCCAAGGAGCGCGGCGTCCCCTGACATTGTTGAGCTGATCCAACTCCTTGAGGCGATTCAGGAGCTGGAGATATACATCCCAACATGAGTCCCGGTCCACAATAGGGCTATTAAGCTTTGCATAGATATCCAAGATCGCGATCTCGAAGTCAGGGGGAACAAGGAGAAAGACGTCATGATCAGGTGGTGCGTACATCTGTCGGACTTTTTCAATACCGATAGGATCGACCTTGATCTGTAAGGGACTAGTAGTTAGTGGCTTGTACTTGATGAAATCGGACTCGTACCTTGAAATCGAGGATGGCGTAATCCTCTGGGAACTCAAACATGCTAGTCGGAACACTGTGAGGAAGGATCTTGTTACGATCACAGCGCTTTGCGGTATTGTTCACGCGATGCCGATACAGCTCAAGCTCGCCCTGAAGCCACGGGATGAATACCCAACGGAAGACTAAGCTTCCAGCCTTCGGAGAAGCCTCTGGGGATCGGTTCGTTCAAATCTGCTCATTCTGCGTTTCTGACGCTGTCCACTTTGCCAACCACACCCCTCGGAGCGCTTCCAAATCAAGCCGTTGCCGCGAAACGCATGTTCAAGAACAACGAGAATAGCGTCTTGATCCACTTCAACCCCATCGATGAATATGCGCACCATGTATCGGAGGCACATCTCCTATTCTGGGGCACTACCCTTCTCAGTTTCGTTTATTCTTTCGTGCGTAACTACATATCAAAGCATGTCGCGCCACCAGGCGACCTCCCTATCTTTGAAGTCCGCTTTGTCGAGGCCGGCGTTGCTCTGGTTCACAATGCGGTGGCAGATGGCAAGTCGAGCAAAATGATGACATCACTCCGACGATCATATCTCATTGAAGAATTAATTGGAACGGATTTGTTCTCTGCAACGACTCGAGTATATTGCTCACTGAATTTCAGGCAATTTTGTGAAGTACATCAATAACAATAGTGCAGTGCCCGTTCCGTCGCTTCCAGAAGATCTCAAGCTGTTGGCATCGTTCCTCTGTTTTACACAACATGTCCAATACGAACACACCGGGCGTTTGGTCTTTCTTTCTGATCTTCAAGGCCGGTTCATTCGATCTGGCTCACTGTTTCATACTAACTCTATCCAAGGCTCCGGAAATCTCTTGACGGATCCGCAGGTTATGACTTCACCGTGCGCAGTCCACTGCTGTGTCAATCTGCGTGCTCTTGATATCTGACTGGATCATCAGGACTCTCGAACGTGGTCTGTTTGGTGGTGGCAATTCAGGCAGGTTCTTCGAGAAGTTTCCTGAGCAGCATGTATGCTCCGGTTACTGCAAGTTTTTTGGACTGTCTAGTCTCATGTAAGTAGTTACGCTCTATCGCTACTCTACAGTGCATGTACTTGGCCTTTTTCATACATGTTAACGAGCGTTCGGGGTCCAGACAGAGCGCATCATGACATAGAGCGCATCATGACATTGATGCCATGTCGGCAAACTTTCGCGTATCAGTGATATGTCCTCCGCTTATCAGCATATAATTCCCGGCCTCCATAGAAGAGAGGCGCCTGCAAGCCGCTACTCCTCAACCGCATCAGAAAAAAATGAAGCACGGTGAACGAGAGAGAGGCGCGCGCTGACGTCTTCTAACAACAGACTGTGCAGCTCGTCCTTGCAATCTTTCATCCGGAGTCTGTCTCCGGAGTCAACCACCCACACAAGGGCGTCCGTCTGTTCGAAATAGTTGCGCCAGTACGGGCGGAGCGTCCGCTGTCCGCCGACATCCCCTGATGGATCGGACATCAGCATATACGCACCTCGCATTACGCACGAGGCAGAACCAACATATGTTCAGAGTGTAACTGCTTGGCGGGACGGGACATCAGCGACCGCTGCCGAGCGACAGCGGAGAGACGCACTTCGCATGCGCAAACGTCTTGATATTAAACCCGAGCGTCGGACTTACGCTCATGATATCTTCTCCGTTCAGCTTCTTCAGGATAGTCGTCTTCCCCGCGTTATCGAGGCCGCTGCATATGACGCGCGTGAGCGTGAGCGTGCAGCTGCGGTTCGTCGGCCGTATGATGGGGACGCTCCAAGCTCACAGGAAGAGAATCCGCATTTCTTTTTCTTTCTGCCGGTTCTTTCTGATTATCGTCAGTAGACCCATGAGCGGTTGGACGAAGAACGGGAGTGCGGGAAAGCAAAGCGGAAGTGTGTAGATCGCATCAGAGGCGGTCACGCGGGAATCCTTCGGCAGGTCTCGGCAATCTGGGAATCCGGCTGATCCCGGGTGCAACCGCCCTCTGCTTTCCGTAAATCTCGTTCCGGGTTCTCTGTGGAGCATGTCTAAGCACGCTGAAAGCGGAACGGGACACGTGAAGGATAAATACTACTGCGCAGGGTCAGATGGTAGGCTTCGGATTCCATGAAAGCTCCATCGTTCTTATTGGCAGAAAACATCAACCAGGAAACCAGGGGTCACATGACTGACGCGGTAACCGTGACACTTGTGACCTTCGCATGTCAAACACTCACTTTTAGCCCATTACCGCTGCGCGCGGGAGACGGGGTCTGCAAGCCGTCTAGTTAATGTCAGAGAGTTTCGAACTGACTCTCTTCTCTCATCGAAGTGAGGTTTTGTGCTCAGTTCCTTTTCTACCGGATTTTTGCGTTAAGTCGTAAGATTCAAGGCGACGGGTGGTTCACCACATACCCCTCCAAACCCCAATCTACGCAGCCCGTGTGCTTCGGTATCCAGTGCCAAAGGCCAATGTGTCCTGTGAAACCCTTACTCCCCGAACTGCAGATACACACTGAATTCCGACGCCGCCCTGCAAGGGCGCACAGCCTGCCGCCGAAAAGGGTCTCGCTTTTACATCTCATCGCTCTCATGAGGATTCGTTCCGGCCCCGAATCCTTTTCTATCCAAGGACACGCTCGCCCCCTAAGGGATCCAATCAGCAAGAGCTTCTCTCCAGCAAACATGGGAAGTAAAGGTCTTCAGTAACGATCAATTGGTGCCCGGCTACGACCATGCAGCGCGCAGCGCTCGCAATCAGCAGAAGGTGGGCCCGACTGGGACCTTATTCTTCATACAGCTCACATTCGGTGACATGCGAGATTGAGAGAAGAGCAGGAAGTCGTCGGCACTACGGATAATTTGTGTGTCCGGGTGATTTGTGTGTCCGTCGGGCAATCGGACGGACGGACGTGTCTTGTCATTCCGACTTGGATCTACGCCGTCGCTGGTGCAGAGGAAGCCAGCCTGTGACCGCGCCGCATGCCCTCCGAATTTCTTTCTGCGCTCTGACGTGCATACCAACAGGCCCCGACGCAAGAAGAAGCATCACCACAAATACATCATACATATGTCTTCTGTTTCTCTCGGAATGATCGTCCCCCCTCGATTGATCGTACTGTGACTGAAGCTCTTCGACTTCTTGGAAGGTGACAAATCATGTCAGTCAGACTGTCTGATCTGGAACCCAGGTCCACGCGTAGTCCGCAGAGTTTCTCAAGAGAGACACCTCCAGTTCCAAAGGGACTTTGGATCGCGGAACCTTTTACGTGGAATCTACTGAGCTTCTACGCACCGAACTGTGGACCATATGCGACACGGCGCCCCGAAAACGTTCTCGATACTTCCGATATCATTAGGGCCTATGGTCTAGGCACAGAAAAGGGCGCCGGTAGCTCATAAGTTCCCTTCTCCAAATGTCGAGCCCGACCGCGTCCGATGATTGTCCGGTCTGCTGCAAATAGATGCATACAGCCGCTGCAGGGTTCACACAACTTGCGAAAATCCCTGAGTGAGGGCTGCTCCTACCAGTGCAAGTGCCCGCTCCAGGGCTATCATCTATTGCATTTCACGATCAACTCAGGGGAGAGCAGTGTGCGGCAAGGTAACGTACATCTCCTGCTGTGCATTTGCAGATGAAAGTCGTCCTGTTGCACGTACCCCTCGATATATTCACCTGAGAGATCAACAATCCATACCAGCCAGGGTTGATTTCCTGTGGGAATGCCGTTTGTATGCGACTGCCAATGCCAAGATATCCAATCGATTATGATTTGATCAGATCAATCGCGTACTTGGACAAATGCAGTCTACCCGCTTTCTCCGTCCACCTTGGTCGTGCGCCCCTCGATCGAGAACTTATTCTTAAACTCTTTAATGTGTGACGAACTCCCGTACGACGCCGCCGTCGCCGCGATTAAGGCGCTGGTTCCGGAGAGCCTGCACACACCGCGAGTCGGGATCGTCTGCGGCTCGGGTCTTGCGGGGATCGCGGAGAGCATCAGGGACCTGGTCCTCGTGCCGTACGATGTGGTGCCCGGATTCGCAGAGAGCACAGGTGCGTCCGGTCTATGTCTCATTCCCACAAAAAATGTAAACGACGTGATTGCCAGTCCCCGGGCACAAGAGCTCGCTCGCCTTCGGTTTTATGGGTCCGAAGGAGGGCTGCGTGCCTGTGATAGCGATGCTGGGCAGAGTGTGTCTGACTCTCTCAAGATGCGCCGGAAGCTCATATACCCAACTTCCCAGTTCCATCCGTACGAAGGACACGACATGCGTACAGTCGTCTACCCCATTCGCTTGATGGCCCGACTGGGAATCAAGGAGTTAATTGGTGCCCGACTTGCCCGGCGCAAACCCTCCCCTCTGCTGATTTTTTTTGCACAGTTACCAATGCTGCAGGAGGATTGAACCCCAATCTTACAGTGGGCACCAGTGCGTCGCCGAAAAAATCCCCGGTTCCTCGTACGACTCTGAATTGCTTCTAGTCGTCGTGCTGCACGATCACCTGGCTATCCCCAATCTGTCAGGTATGAACCCCCTTCTCGGCCCGCCCTCCTCCCCCAGCGTGCCGCGCTTCCTCCCCCTGTCCGATGCATACTCGCCGCGCCTGCGGCGGCTGCTTTTCCTCGCCGCACACGAGCTGAAGCTCGAGGCATCCGCGCTCGCGGAGGGGACCTACGCCTGGGTCAGCGGGCCGACGTACGAGACCCCGGCGGAGGGCCGGTTCCTGCGGCTGGTCGGGGCCGATGTCGTCGGGATGAGCACGGTCCCGGAGGTGCTCGCTGCGCGCGAAGCCGGTATCAGCGTCCTGGCACTTAGCCTGGTCACGAACGCGGTGGTCATCCCACAGGGGTACCGCAGCATCAAGGCTGAGGTTGCTGCTGAGGTGCGTTGCCTCGATCGTGTTCGCCGCAATTTCTGATACTTGGCACCAGCTTGCGGGCTCGCCCACGGTGGCCCCGGTAGAGGCTGTGGTGTCTCATGAAGAAGTACTGGAGACCGGGCGCGCCAAAGGAGAAATTGTGATGAAACTGGTGGAATGGGTCGTTGGGGCTATCCCCAACGCCGCCTAGATTTTAGAGCAGATTACTGTTCACATAATGGGGATGAATTACGCGTAATGGATGCCTTGAGCATCGAAGTCTTTTTACATGGACATCTTCACAGATGTTGGGTCAGGTTCCACGCTACTGGCTGGCAGAAGGCCTCGCCCATCGCTTGGACACCAGGGGTGACATTGCAGCGGCAACACGTCGGCCTTCTTCCGATAACAGATTGTAGGTTGAACATGCATTGCGCTAGAGCCATCATTCAGCGATCCAAGGGAGGACAAGTCAGAAGCGTACGGTGCTCATGACATCCACCTGGATCCCCAGGTCCGTGAGGTACGACTTGACGGAGGGCGGTGGATGGGCGAGGTCGTTACCAGTCCCTAGTATCAGGATCTCTTCAGGTTGCTTCAGCCCCTTCACAGCACTTTGGCGGACAACGAGCCCCACGTACCAGGTTTCGGCACGCACACCTCAAACATGGCCAGATGCTCGCGCTTCCAATCCGTCACCCGTTCGGGCACGTCCCACAGGAAGACTTTGCCGTCGAGGAAGATCGTCGCGCCGGTCAACAGCAGGCCATCTTCGAGCATGATCCCCTCTTCGGAGACCGCGGATACTTGCACGGGTGGAGGCGCGTCGGACGCGAGGATGTTGGTCAGGCCGAAGTGGGCTTCGTATGGAGGCCGGGAATTATATGCTGATAAGCGGAGGACATATCACTGATACGCGAAAGTTTGCCGACATGGCATCAATGTCATGATGCGCTCTATGTCATGATGCGCTCTGTCTGGACCCCGAACGCTCGTTAACATGTATGAAAAAGGCCAAGTACATGCACTGTAGAGTAGCGATAGAGCGTAACTACTTACATGAGACTAGACAGTCCAAAAAACTTGCAGTAACCGGAGCATACATGCTGCTCAGGAAACTTCTCGAAGAACCTGCCTGAATTGCCACCACCAAACAGACCACGTTCGAGAGTCCTGATGATCCAGTCAGATATCAAGAGCACGCAGATTGACACAGCAGTGGACTGCGCACGGTGAAGTCATAACCTGCGGATCCGTCAAGAGATTTCCGGAGCCTTGGATAGAGTTAGTATGAAACAGTGAGCCAGATCGAATGAACCGGCCTTGAAGATCAGAAAGAAAGACCAAACGCCCGGTGTGTTCGTATTGGACATGTTGTGTAAAACAGAGGAACGATGCCAACAGCTTGAGATCTTCTGGAAGCGACGGAACGGGCACTGCACTATTGTTATTGATGTACTTCACAAAATTGCCTGAAATTCAGTGAGCAATATACTCGAGTCGTTGCAGAGAACAAATCCGTTCCAATTAATTCTTCAATGAGATATGATCGTCGGAGTGATGTCATCATTTTGCTCGACTTGCCATCTGCCACCGCATTGTGAACCAGAGCAACGCCGGCCTCGACAAAGCGGACTTCAAAGATAGGGAGGTCGCCTGGTGGCGCGACATGCTTTGATATGTAGTTACGCACGAAAGAATAAACGAAACTGAGAAGGGTAGTGCCCCAGAATAGGAGATGTGCCTCCGATACATGGTGCGCATATTCATCGATGGGGTTGAAGTGGATCAAGACGCTATTCTCGTTGTTCTTGAACATGCGTTTCGCGGCAACGGCTTGATTTGGAAGCGCTCCGAGGGGTGTGGTTGGCAAAGTGGACAGCGTCAGAAACGCAGAATGAGCAGATTTGAACGAACCGATCCCCAGAGGCTTCTCCGAAGGCTGGAAGCTTAGTCTTCCGTTGGGTATTCATCCCGTGGCTTCAGGGCGAGCTTGAGCTGTATCGGCATCGCGTGAACAATACCGCAAAGCGCTGTGATCGTAACAAGATCCTTCCTCACAGTGTTCCGACTAGCATGTTTGAGTTCCCAGAGGATTACGCCATCCTCGATTTCAAGGTACGAGTCCGATTTCATCAAGTACAAGCCACTAACTACTAGTCCCTTACAGATCAAGGTCGATCCTATCGGTATTGAAAAAGTCCGACAGATGTACGCACCACCTGATCATGACGTCTTTCTCCTTGTTCCCCCTGACTTCGAGATCGCGATCTTGGATATCTATGCAAAGCTTAATAGCCCTATTGTGGACCGGGACTCATGTTGGGATGTATATCTCCAGCTCCTGAATCGCCTCAAGGAGTTGGATCAGCTCAACAATGTCAGGGGACGCCGCGCTCCTTGGGCACGTGACCATGCACGTGACCCACTGCACCCTCTCTGCCGACCCGTGCCTGCTCACCTGTCGATCACCCAGCCTCCTCCTCCTCCTCCGATCCTCATCTCCATCCATGCCAACATCCGCCCTTTCCCTTCTTCCCCCGGCCATCTCCCTCGAATCCCCGCAAGCGGTCTAGCCAAGCCCGATTCCTTGCACCAGGGAGTGCTACTGCCGTATGCACTCCTCCCCCTTCACTTCGGCCTTCTCCCCGCGGATGTGGTCTACTGCCGTACAGGCTCGTACCAGATGCCCTTGCGCTCATCTGCACCACCCCTCTTCCCAGTTGGGCATTGGTCCTCGCCTCCAATGTCTCCACTGGCCGGCCGGGCACTGGCCTGGCCGCTGGGCTCCTCCAGTGTGGCCTTCCACTGTTGGTGTCTCAGGAGCTGGCCATCACTGGCCCCTCTGAGCCACTCACTATCTTATCTGGGTTTGTCATTATCTACTTGTCATCTGCCATTGTTCCATGGCAGTGATATCCCATCATCATCAGTCACTTGTCACAGCTGACTATATAGTGTGACACCTGGGCACATGGATCCTTGAACCGTTCTCTAAGGATCCCCCTCTGTGCTCAGGTGAGTAGTATACCTCCCTTGTATTTGATAGTCTCTAAGGATCCCCCTCTGTGCTCAGACTCATGTGAGGTTGTTGTGTGCTGTGTGCTCTCTTCCTTCGGGCTGGCAGGAGTTGCCCTTACAAACAATATCGATCAGAGTGCCGATGCAAGGTGGGGGCATGTGCTGACCCAGCCGGTCGATAAAAACATTCCCCTTCTCCCAAACTTGCAGGAACTGCAGGGCGGTGAGGGGGTCGTCGGAGAGGGTGCTTATTATATGGGTGGAGTCAACAATGGGGATGGTCTCGGTATGTTCCATTACTTGGGAACCTTACTGTTCACTGACTCGTCTCCTTTCGGAGGTCCTGAACATCACGCACGTCTGAACGCAATGATCAACGATATCGAGCCCGAAGTGTATCCCATGCCCAACTCCCAGTTACCGGATGACGCTCATGCATTGTACGCATGGTTCTCGGACAAAGAGGACTCTCAGGATTTCAATGATCATTGGTAGTACATACATGCTGACGAGCAGTGATGCGCCCTAGCCCTGAAATCAATCGATCACGTGCACGAAAAGATCTCAATGGATTTGTCAGCGAGCTCATCAAGGTTGTTGCACGTGATCATTCTGATCATCACTGGATGCCTCCGGCGGGGTCCTATTTCGGAGTTCGTCTCCTTGTTGTGCTCACAGGACTCATTCATTTCGGCAAAATTCAGCACTGACTAAAGAAATAAATTAACATAGAGCTCAATGGTCACCATATCAACAGGAGGTTCAAGTTACTTATCTCCTTTGGATTTGATTCACACTTACTGTACCGTGCCAATCAAATCGTCAGTCACGCGTCACAGGCTGCCTGACGAAGTCGAAATTTGTTTTGATGTCACGCATCACATGCTCAGGTGACGAATTCATTTTTCCGTTCGGAAATAAATAAGGCTTGTGGGGTTCAGCTGAAGTGTTAAAAATACTTGTGTACCCTTCCCTGTGTTGTTTTGAGTCTGTCTGGGGCTATCACACAGATAGCTTCAGATCAAGTTGCAAGCAACTCATAGGGAGGTGAATGCATGACCTGACGAAAAAATCAACATGTCACATGTCATGGGGGGACCTGACGAATTGACGAATTGACCTTTTGTGTCACGCATCACACCCCCTGACGATTTGATTGGCACGGTACAGTAGTATAAAAGACCTGTAGTACAGTACAAGAAAAACAAGAAATCTTCTTCACCCACTCTCTAGAGTCTAAAGTGACTTCCCAGTACTTTCTATCTCGCTTTCTCGGCGCCTGCTTCTGCATTATTTTCCCAACATCGCCCCCAAACCCCCATTTCGTGCTACAGACATACATATTGATCTCCCCGTCGTTCTATCGTCCTCTCGTCCTGTCCTCCGTCGTCATTATCGTCCCATCGCCTGTTCTATTGTCCCTTTACTCCCCCTGTTGCTCGCTGCTGCCCCCGCCCATTTCAGTTAAGCCCATTTCCCCGAGCCTGACCTTGTTAGGATCAGAATCCCACAAATATACTGCGCGAGCTCGAGCCGCAGCTCCCTCCCCACGACCTCCGACTAGCCCCCTGTCTCTCCCCGTACAGCTGCGCGCTCATACGCTCCGTAGGCGTGTCAATGCTAGTAATACACTTCAGCGTTCGGGGTCCAGACAGAGCGCATCATGACATAGAGCGCATCATGACATTGATGCCATGTCGGCAAACTTTCGCGTATCAGTGATATGTCCTCCGCTTATCAGCATATAATTCCCGGCCTCCATAGCTTCGCCCGGATTGCGGCGACGCGTGGTCGTGTGTAGTGATCTCGTGGAGAGCGCAGGAGCAGACAGCAAGTTTCTAGAGGACGCCATGAAGTGTCGGGCGAGCGAGTTGCGCTGGCAAATAGGAGAGAGACGAGACAGTCTTGAGGCGGACATGATGGGCCAGTCGAAAGCTTCCACACCAAGTTCAGTCACCTGACCTTGCGCTCTGGTCAGGTACTACGTCATAGAGTTCATTCTGAATCCAAGCCCTATCTTCATGCGGAGGTTCTCAATGGAGCCCATATGCCCGGAGGACGAAGAGGAATTTTTTTTCCGCCTAGGGCCGGTGAGCACGTAGTGGATAATCAGGATTATAATGCTATCCGTTCAAGCTTGGACAATCATCACGTCGCGTAACGAAGAAGACGTTACACATCGTCACACACACGCGACTCTTGGCTCGACTTGCGCGACGACGAAATCTGAGCTGGGATCTGTGCAACCTTTCGACTATCGGGGAGAAGCTTGCATCTGGCTGGGCAACAGCATACCACGAGGATTGCCTTGCCGTTAGGTTCGGGTGCGATTCGCCCCGTGACAGCGTTGATCAGCCTGCAAAGTGTCAACATGCTTTGCGCTGACCATCGAATATGCATCGGTCAGCTTTTTTCCTTGGCTTTATTGGTATCACCGCAAATCTTTGAATCTGTCTGGATTTCTTCATGAGCATTGGATTCTTCAACACTCGGGACCGGGCAGGCTTTATGGCCGATGTTTTCACACTCGGACTCTTTGACCGACAGTTGGGCCACTTCGACTCTACCTGGGCCATGAGCGTCACCAGCTCTGCAACAACTCCGTCTTGATCTATTGCAACACATACTTGAGCCCAGCGCTATTGCATTTGCGACCTGTCCTGATTCCCCACCGACAAAATTGTCTATTTTCTATGAATGCCACCACAAAATAATCTATATTTAGGAGACCAGAAAACGCCATCTGTCCAGGAGAATATCAATGTCAAATCTAGATGAGCCGTATCTCTTCTCTTGGCCTAGTTTCCAGTACAAGTCGCACGACGTGTGTCCACAGGCTCGACTTTCAACGCCCAGAAACCACAACCTGTGAAACATCGTTTGAGCCAGCATTGAGCAAGTAGCAGATCATCTCGGACTTGACATCGAATGGCCAGGAATCTAGATGCCAGAGGAGCACGGACAGGGATGGAAAATCTACTATGAATTTCTTTATCAAGGTCGCGTGAATTACTGGGTGTGTTGCTCGCACGTTGAAATCTGGTGCTGGAAACAATAGAAAGTCAGTCATTACCGCCAACTCGGCACCGGCATCCGAGTCGAAGATTGACGCGTGGCAGTGCCGCACTGACGAAACCCATCTCTCTCACCCGTACCGTGACCACTCCCGTCCTCGAAAATGCCGCCCAAAAACAAGGCAAAGAAGGGTAAGAAGGCCGACGATGAGGAATACTGGTGCGCTATACGTGCCCACTCCTTCAAATGCCGACCGATCTGTCTGCAGGGAGAAAGCCGGCGAATCTATCCCATCCTCTCAACCCGTGGCAGATGCGCCGTCTCGATCTGGCTTCTCTGGATTCACGGCGCTGGATATGAGTGTGGACGACACTGCGCAACCGGAGGAGGATGAGGATTTCGGTGGACTGATGGTTCGCGCGAATCGCTCCATTTTCGTCCGAGCGTGCTTACTGACTGCTGCTGCAGTCGACCCTCAACAAGGCAACCAAGAGCAAGAAGGATAAGAAGAAGGACAAGAAGAAAGCTGTTGCCTACGATGAGGATGAGGACACTCCCCTCGATCCTGCTGTCGATGATGAGGCTGCCGGCGCGTCGAAGAAGCCGACGGAAATGACCGCTGAGGAGCTCGCTGATGAGGAGTGGGGCCCAGTGAAGGAGAAGAAAAAGGGCAAGAAGGGCAAGGGCAAGAAGAGCAAAGCCCAAGATGACGAGGATGAGGATAAAATTGGTGCGTCGCGTCGATCTGTGGTCTCATGTTGTTATCTCACCGGTTGAAGCCGAAGAGACGACAGAGGCTGCACCCCCTGCTACCGCTAAACCTCCTGCTCCTGCTGACGACGGTGATGACAACGCCGATGACGATGCCGCGGACGCTGGTCCGAAGATCCTCAGCAAGAAGGAGAAGGAGAAGATCAAGAAAGAGAAAGAACGAGTATGGTTTTTTGATAATAACATTCGATCGTGTATGCTAAACCCACTTCTGCAGGCCAAGAAGAAGGCTCAAGCCGCCGCGAAAAAGTCCACTACTGGGGATGCCGCCGCAGGCGACGACGCTGACGTTGCACCCGCAGCGCCTCCTCCGGCCGATGATGCTGCAGACAACGAAGACGATGCCGATGAAGGCGCGGCAGGCAAGGGAGACGCGAAGAAGAAGAAGAAGAAGAAAGCAAAGAAGGAGGAGGAGCCCGCACCTGCACCTCCCGCTGCTTCAAAGAAAAAGGGCGGTGCCATCGGTGCGCTGAAAGCCATGTTAGAGGAGAAAAAGCGTGCGGAGGAAGAGGTCCGCCGAAAAGAGGAGGAGGAGAGGGCCCGGCTAGAGCGGGAAGAACAAGAGGCTGCTGAAGTAGAACGCAAGAAGGAGGAGGAAAAGCAGCGACGCAAGCAGAAGGAGAAGGTGGGCCATTCTTCCGATGTTGATGACGTATGTTGTAACAGCCGAGCAGGACAAGAAAGAGTTGGCCAAGAAGGAGGGACGATTCTTGACAAAGAAACAGAAAGAGGAAAAGGCCATGGCAGAGATCCGCCGACAAGCTCTCCTCGCATCCGGTGCTCATATCGAGGGATTGCAGGGCTCGACTGCTGATGCGCCAGTCAAGAAGGTGAACTACGGTACTCGCAAGAAGAAAGGGCCGGCAGTGAAGGACGCTTCGCCGGCTCCAGAATCGCGACCCCGGTCTCCGGAGCCTGTTGTCCCTGCACCAGAACCACGGACGGAACCCGTCCTTGAATCCAAACCAGATGTCGTGAGCGACTGGGATGCTAGTAGTGCGGAAGAGGAAAATGAAGTCAAGCAGGGGGCGGCTGATGTCAAGGATTCCTGGGATGCTTCAAGCGACGAGGAAGAGGTCGCTCCTGTCGTTGCACCCAAATCTGTCGGCGCATCCAAGCCGGTTGCCGCAGCGAAACCCGCAGTTGTGGCCAGCTCGTCCAAAGCCCCGGCTAAGGCACCGGCCAAAGCACCAACCCCCGCTGTCAAGAAAGGCATGTCACATTGACTCTTGCCCGGGACCCGACTGACCATCATTGGTGTTAGCTACGCCTACGAGCAATGCCAAGACGGCTGCCGCACAGAAACCTGCCCCCAAAGAGGAGGAGGAGGAGGAATCCGAATCAGAAGAGGATTCATCAGATGAGGACTCGGATTCAGACTCTGATGATTCGGATTCAGATTCAGACGGCGACTCGTCATCATCTGAGGAAGAGATGACGTCAGCTCAACGAATGGCGGCTCAGAGGAAAGCCGAAGCGGCAGCCAGGCGAGCCAAAGCCCGCGAGGATGCGCTGGCTGCTCGCAGCAAGGACGATCTGCGCAGTCCGATCTGCTGTATCCTTGGACACGTCGACACCGGAAAGACGAAGCTGTTGGACAAGGTACGGCATCGGAATCCTTCCAAGATCTGTGTTCCGAGCCAAGATTAGATTCGTCAAACAAACGTTCAAGAAGGCGAAGCGGGCGGAATTACACAGCAGATCGGTGCGACCTATTTCCCCGTGGATGCTATCAAGACAAAAACCGCCGTGCTGAACAAGGTATGTTGCACCCAAGAGGATCGGCCCAGGCTTATCCTCTGCGCAGGACGGGACTCAGGAATACAAGATCCCGGGCCTTCTGGTCATTGACACGCCGGGTCATGAGTCGTTCACCAACCTGCGTTCGCGTGGAAGTTCCTTGTGCAACATTGCGATCTTGGTTGTGGATATCATGGTGCGTATGTTTTCTGCCCCTCTTTCCCATGTCCAATAGGGGTGCAGCATGGCTTGGAACAGCAGACCCTCGAGTCATTAAGGTTGCTTCGGGACCGGAAGACCCCATTCATTGTTGCATTGAACAAGGTGCGTTTCCGATTGTTCTTTAGATGGAACTGTGGCCTCATTTGACCAGATTGATCGAATGTATGGCTGGGACGCGACCCCCGATGGCGCATTCCGCGAGTCACTGGCCAAGCAGAACCGAGCCGTCCAGCGTGAGTTCGAGGATCGGCTGACCAAGATCGTCGTTGCCTTCGCGGAAGAAGGGCTGAATGCGGTGCTCTATTACGACAACAAGAACTTTGCGCGCAATGTGTCGATCGTGCCGACCTCTGCCGTCACTGGCGAGGGTGTTCCTGATATGATCATGCTGCTCGTGAATCTCACCCAACAGCGGATGAGCGACCGCCTGATGTATCTGTCGGAGCTCGAGTGCACCGTGCTCGAGGTCAAAGTCATCGAGGGACTGGGCACTACCATCGATGTGGTACTTTCGAATGGGATATTGCGGGAGGGAGACAAGATCGTCGTGTGTGGTCTCAACGGGCCTATCGTAACACAAATCCGGGCTCTATTGACACCCCAACCGCTGCGGGAGCTTCGTATCAAGGTGTGTGTGTTCTTATCTGGGGCTCTTCCTTCATCGAATCTCACGCCGCGTCCAGTCCAACTATGTGCACCACAAAGAAGTCAAGGCCGCGTTGGGTGTGAAGATCACGGCGCCCGATCTCGAAAAGGCGATCGCTGGTTCACGCTTGCTTGTTTGCGGGCCGGACGACGACGAAGACGATCTGCGGGACGAGGTGATGTCTGATCTCACGTCGCTTCTGAACAACATCGACAAGTCGGGCCGGGGCGTGTGTGTCCAGGCTTCGACTCTCGGATCGCTCGAGGCGCTGCTCGACTTTCTCAAGTCGAGCAAAATCCCGGTGTCGGGTATCAACATTGGCCCTGTACACAAGAAGGATGTGATGAGGGCTGGGACGATGCTGGAAAAGGCCAAGGAGCTGGCGTGCATCCTGTGCTTCGATGTGACAGTCGATAAAGATGCCGAGCGCATGGCGGAGGAAATGGGGATCAGGTTGTTCAAGGGTGAGTGTTTAAACCGTAACCACCCCAGGGTCGACCGTCGCACAGCTGACTCTTCTCTCCGCAGCTGATATCATTTACCACTTGTTCGATGCGTTCACGGCCTACAACCAGGAGATCGTCGAGGCGAAGCGGAAAGATGCTGCGCCTCAAGCCGTCTGGCCGTGTCGACTCAAGATCTTGGCCGTGTTCTGTAAGCGGGATCCAATCATCGTCGGTGTCGACATCCTCGACGGCAGTCTGCGGGTCGGCACGCCTCTGGCAGTGGTCAAAACAGATCCGGCTACCGGCAAGAAGGAGATCATCGACCTGGGCAAGATGTGAGAGCGCTGTCACTGATCCTTCGGTGCATTTGCTGACCTTGTGTGCAGCACATCGTTGGAGATCAACCATAAGGCCTACGATGTGAGTCTTCTACCTGGTCTTCCCTCGAACATGCTTCTCACCGGGATTCAATCCAGCTGGTGAAGAAATCGCAGGCCGGTGCCGGCGTTGCGGTCAAGATCGAGCACGCTGTCTACCAGTCCGCTAAAATGGTCGGCCGACACTTTGACGAGAAGGACGAGCTGCTGAGCCACATCACACGGCAAAGTGTGGACGTGCTCAAGGTGGGTTGCGGTGTGCATTCTGCCTGCCCTATTTTGGTGCTCATCATTCTATGCGCAGGATTCGTTCAGGGCGGATGTGCTTCCCGAAGAGTGGATGCTGATCAAAGCACTGAAGCCGGTGAGCAAAAGCACGCTTTTCTTGCGAATCTTGCTAACAGACCTTGATTTCAGTGGTTCAATATACAGTGAATGATGTGTATCTAGTCGAAATATACGCATGGACATGCCGCACTCGGAAACAACCGCACACCTGCTTGATCCCCAATTGAAGTGAATCGCTCTGAATCCGATCTATTTCTACGAGATACGGAATTACAACTTTGAGCGACGCTCAGTTGGGTATGGTCCAGAATGACTTTGGACGTGTTTGTGAATACATACAAAATGCTTTCCGTGTATGATTATACAGCTCACTTCAATTCGGCAGGCATATCCCCGCCCTGCAGGACGGCCATCAGGTTGTTGATCGCCGTCGTGACCATGTCCGTTCGAGTCTGGAACGTGGCGCTGCCGATGTGCGGCACCATCACACATCTGGAGTTGAATAAGCTGGACGCAGAGAGCTCGAATGCACAGAAAGTCACGCACTTGGGCTGTTTGCAGAGCGGATGATCGGCAGAGATCTTGGGCTCGCCCTCGATCACATCTAATCCGGCGCCCCAGATCCATTTCTCTTCCAGGGCTTTGGCAAGCGCGTCGGAATCAACCACTGTACCACGGCTGGAAGGGATCAGTGCGCGACCTTGATCAAATCGTTGACTCTCACCCCGCATTCACGATGACGCTCATCGGCTTCATCTTCTTCAAAAAGTCCTCCCCGATCGCGTGGTATGTGTCCTTCCCTCCCGGCGTCAACAATATGACCAAATCGCTCTCCCGCGCGAGGCGGTCGAGATCGACGCGCTCGATCGACTGCAGCTCGAGCTTCTTCTTGAGCGCGGCGTCGCGCTCGGCGTGTGCGGCGCTGATGGTGTTGCCGGATTTCGGGTTGCCAGAGTAGATGCAGTGGGTGATGCCGAATGCAGCGAGCCGCTTGAGCGTCGCCTGTGCGATGCGGCCGAAGCCGAGGAAGCCGACTGTCCGTGTCGGCGACGTCGATGTCGTGCTGAGCTGTGGACCGCAAAAGAGGAACGGGGACCAGACGAGCGACGGTTGGGCCCACTGAGGAAGAGATCAGTGAGCGAGGGATCGCCCATGCTGGCTTATCACGTACACTGCCGGTTTTGACGAGGTTGTAGATCTGGCCGTCGCTGCGGCTGGCCATCAGTGCGAGCATGACGGCGACATCGGCGACTTGGGTGATAGTTCAGGACACTAAAGCATGTATTGAAGAAGATCGACCGCACCTGCTTCTGTCAGCACATTTGGAGTATATCCGACCCGGACGCCGCGCGAGACAGTGAGAGGAAGGTCGATGTGTTCTAAAGAAGATTAGATAGGACACACGATGGTGGATCCGCATGGACACGCACCGTATCCAACAGAGACAGTCGATACGACGCGTAGAGTGGGTCCAGCTCATATGCAAGTTTCCTCACTTGGCACGCCTTCAGCCGTAATCCATCCAGACTCACCGGCATCTAGAAGCTCCTGGTCTACCTAATGCGGGGGTTAGACGCGGGATATACATAGGGAGGGATCGCGAATCGCACCTTCTCTCCTAGCAGAACCATCAGCCCCGCTGCGCCCTTAATGTTCTCCAGCAGCCATGCCCGATCGCACGCCTCATCGCGATCCCAGATGACGAACTAAGTGCGACGCATCAGGATCGTGTAACCAGTAGCTGAAGAACGGAACTGACATCCACGACGTCCTTGTGCTGCATCAAGATGGGCGTTGCCTGGCCCAGAGTCTTGCACACGATGACCTTCGGTTTGCTGGAATTGACGAGCGAGCATCACTGATTTGTACAGCGTCCCATGTAGCAGAGGCAGTCGCACGAACCTGGAGGACATATTCGGAGAGAGAGGAGAGGTTCAGGAAAGAGAAGCAGCGGAACTGGATTCCTGATCGTTCCAGTGCAGCTTTTTGTGGGGGGAGAAGGACTCACGGGATCTATCGGCCCGGACGTGAGAATCGGCGTACGGACCGATGGTCCGACTATCCTGTCTCGGCCAATCGTCGTGGATCCATCTCAGTACCAGTCCTGCTGTGGATCTGAAAGTCTAACTTCGCCTCAGACACTCCTACTTGCCATCCAAACCTCACTAAAATTCAAGGGCATGGGCGCGAATAACGCCCACGATCGACATATTTTCGGCCAAGTAAAAGACGTCAGAATCTTTCTTATTTTCTAAGGAGAAAAAAATTACTGGCTACTGAAATTCTGTGTAGAGATATTACGGGGATACAGATTTGACAAATAAGAGCTCGAAGACTTGGAATCTCAGACGAACGGAGTGCACACGTGCATATCCTCCGTGAATGCCCTCTATACGACGTGCAACGACCAATCATACGAGCCACCTCCGCCAACTTCGGCCTGCGCGACATCCTTGGGACGAAAGAAGGAATCGTTGCGTTGGCAGAATTCTTGAAGGAATCCGGGGCATTCACGAGAAATGGACGAGTGTGGCAGGACCGAGAGAATCCCGTGCTAGAAGACGAACCGGAACCGGAGCTATCGGACGACGAAGAGAACGACGACGACGACGACGACCTGGACAACGGCTGAACAACACCCGATGCGGCTCCAACCGGCCCTAGCCAAGCCAATCCCCCCTCCCCGTATGGTTATGTTCTATGCTCTATGCTGCGCTCGAAACTCCTCCACGACATCTCCATACAACCGAAATCAGGCGACGAAACATGCTCGATTGAAACGGCCGAAAAGACGTGATCGTCCTTCCATACCTGCTGCCCTTGGGCACCGCGTCTTAGTAGTTAGTTTACTTGTTGCGGAATACAAATGCGGATTCAAACAAACAGGAGTGCACACGTGATCGTATCTGGCGGTGTTTGCTGCATGATGGATTGATGCATCAGCCTGGCCTGTCTAATCTCGGACGCGAGCGACCATGGCCGCGCCGTTCGCAAACGGCACAGGCAATGAGGAAAGGACTCGAGAAGCAGCACCCGACTCGCTCTCAGGCCTCAGCTCCCTACTTACGAGCACCGACAATGCCGCGTCGCAAGCATACCTGAACCACCTCACAACGCTCCCACTCTCCACCCTCGTCGTCGAGCCCGAGACATTGCAAACCCAAGCGCATCACTTGACTTCAAGTCTGACCACGCTCACGCTCACATCTTACCCCACCTTTCTCTCGCTGCACCAGACGACTGCCGCATTGACCGCTTCCCTCACATCCCTCGAGTCGTCATTAGACGCACTGCTTAATACGAGTCTTCCCGCGCTAGAGAGCAGCGCGGCCAGCTGGAAATCGAGGACGGATGACGTTCTGTCTGAGCGGCGGAAGGCACGCGTCGTGCTCGAGCAGCACGATAAAATACGCGACCTGCTGGAGATCCCTATGCTCATTGATACCTGCGTGCGGAACGGCTATTTCGCAGAAGCGCTGTCCCTGGCCTCCCATGCGCGCTCGGTCTCGTTAGCGCCTGTGCCGAAGATCCTCACCTCCGTCTTGGCCGAGGTGCAGAACTCGATGACGCAGATGATGCTTTCGCTGTTGTCGACGCTACACGAGCCGAGCCGGAAACTTCCTGCCTTGTGGAAGGCTGTCAACTTTCTGCGGAAGATGGAGGTGTTTGATGAGAGCAGCGGGGTCAGCGGAGAAGAGCAGATCGCGCTTGCGTTTCTCGGAGGCAGGGAAGCCTGTTTACGGACAGCGTTGGAAGGCATCTCGCGGGACGTTCTCCGGCTAGCCGGGGGGACGGGCATCGGAGATCGCGAGAAGGAGGACCTGGCGCGATTTCTGAAGAAGTACATCGACGCGTGGCGAGAAGGTGTTCACGATGTCGTGACACAGTTCACGACGATCTTCCTGGAGCGTTCTCCGGCCCCGGCGTCGCCTGCTACCAGTGTGTTTGCGTTGCATTCCTTGCTAACGACGTATACAACGCAAGCTCTGACGACGCATCTTCTGCCGATCCTCTCCCAAACGCTGTCTGTGCTCCCCATCTCGGCGTTGCCATCGCTGCTGACCCAGCTGACCTATTGCGCGACTGCTTTTGCACGTGTCGGACTGGACTTCCGGGGTGTCTTGAGCGGCCTGTTTTGCACAGCCGTCCTGGCCACGGTCGGCGCAGACCTGAAAGCCGTCGGCGCGAAGTGGATCGAACGTGTATCTTCTGCCACTGGCGACAGCGCACCGTCGCCGGCGTCCTTGCGCAAGGGGACCAAGATCACTGCGCCCTCTCAGTGGCTGATCGTGCCGTCTCTGGCAGCCTCTCCCCCAGAGGGCCCTTTTCCGGAATCCGCAGCGCATGTCCCCCCGCAGGTCATTGCTTCGTATCCGCCTCTCGCTGAATACACCAACGCTGTTCTCACCGTGCTCAACGGCATGCGATTGCTGGCGCCGATCTCAATCTGCGATCAACTCCGATCAGTGTTGGACGGTGTCTTATCAGACAGCGGGGCAGCATTGCGCTCTTACGTCCGTCGTTCTTGTGATGGACAGGATCTGAGGACGGCGACGAGTGAAGAACGGGAGCGGGAGGAGCGGATTGCGGTTGCTGCCGGGCAGATATTTTTTACCGTGCTTACCCCCTTTTTGCGGAGGGCACTTTCGGAGGGAGTGTATGGGACACCGCTCTCGGACGACGTTTTAGAAGGCGTACGAGAATGGGAGAGTTGGTTAGCGATCAGGACCGGAGAGTAGGTACCAAGATAGCCTCGATTATTTTTAGCCGGCACGATCTCGGGACTGCGGTTGTCAAGAACCGGATCTCTTGTACATACTTGTTGTGAGGTGCAAATGTTACTGTGGCAGTAGCGATCAACGTCGTTTCTCTCCCTCCCTCCCTCCCTCCCTCTTCCATCGCCTGTCCCTACCCTGCCTGCTCCATGCAGCGCGTTTGGTCCACGTATCTTGACGGCCGGGGGCGACCAGAGCAACGGGTCCACCGCAGAGAGGTGCGTTGACTACGCGAGAGGGTGACGGCACGGACTTACGCTCAAGATGCTTATTCTCGTGGCGTACAGAACTCTTCGTGAGCACGCAAGTAACCTGACCCTTGCTCCCCCCACTTATGTAAACCCGTTCTCGTTTGCTCCAGCAGGGACTCCTCCGTCGCGCCGTCTATGATGTCCCAGATCGCCCTCGTCCCCAACGCCGCTGGCTTCTCCGACCAGCAGCACCTGAACCCTCCCCACGCTCCTTTCGCGGAATCCACAGCAGGCTCCAGCCGGGCAAGCTCCCCTGGACCCATGTTCAACGGATCGAGCCTCTCACTCACTGTCAACTACATTCCCTCGAAACTCCCCGCGCTCTCGTCGGGGGCGCGGAAACGACGCACGGGCAAGGGCAGCGGGGGGCCCTTCCCGAAGCAGGGCGGCGGCGTGGACGCCTTCCGGAGCGGCGCCGCGCGGATCCCGGGGCAGCACGACGAGGACTTCGACTCGGGGTGGCTGAACGGGCGGGGGGGCGGCCCGAAGCTGCGCTGGACGCCGTTCAAGTGGATCCTGCTGCTGACGAACACGCTGCTCGCGGCGTACTCGCTCGTCGCGCTCGTGTTCTGCCTGCTGACGTGGTTCGACGTGTGGAGCCACGCGGACGTCGTCCGCGTCGCGAACCGCCCGGAGCTGGTGCTCTCGACGCTGGCGGCGGCGGCGGCGCTGTTCACGTCGCTCATCGGCTTCGCGGGGATCCTGCTGAACAACCGGCCGTTCCTCGCGGTGTACACGTTCCTGCTGTGGGTGTGCTTCGGGCTGCTCGTCGTGCCCGGGTACCTGACGTACAAGCACCGGAATCTGAACGTCGAGGGCAAGGTGAACAACCAGTGGTCGCGCGATCTGAGCGCGGAGGACCGCCTGCGGATCCAGAACCAGCTCCGGTGCTGTGGGTACTTCTCGCCGTTCGTCGAGGCGACGGTGAGCGCGACGTGCTACGCGCGCAGTCTGCTGCCCGGGTGCAAGGCGCCGTACCTCGATTTTGAGAAGAAGGTGCTCGAGCGGTGGTACATCGTGTCCTTCGGCCTCGTTCCGGCGCACATCGGCGTGATCGTCGCCGGCCTGCTGTGCTCGAACCACGTCACGTACCGGTTCGGGAAGGGGATGACGCCCAAGGCCTACCAGCTGACCATGGATAGCATGGCTGTTATCATGGACAACTACGCTAGGTGAGTACCGGGGCAACGATTCTTCTCTCCGTTCCGCGCGTGTGCTGACGATCACCCCACCAGCCGGCTCGCAGAGCAGTACGGCCCGGAGGTGGCGACGAAGGTGCTCAACCACTCGCGCTCGAACCTCGACCTGCCCGCAACGTACACGAGCGGGAGCGCGCCGCATCGGCCGGGGCACATGCGCAACCGGTCGCAGTCATGACCCCCATTTGTATATACCCCCCACATCCATACCGGACCCGCTGGTTGTACGGGCCTCACGGACTGCTGCTGCTTGTTATTCGTAAAGTTATTGCGCAGTTGTTGTTGTGCTCTGCCCACACGTTGTAATGGATTTTTTTTTCTCGAGTGTGCGACAAATTTTGTCAAGCCTGGCGGAGCACTGGCACCATCCCGTTGGTTGCAGCCGATGGGCGAGGACTGATTCGCCAAGACAAGACCGTCACCTGACGACGGCAAGCCCTGCGTTCTCCTTGAGAGAAATGCTTCGAAGAACCGCGCCATCGGCCGACTGCCAAGAGTGCGTTGGCAACATCCACCCATCTGGATGGCCCTTGCCTGTTCGTGGAAGCGCATACAGTACATGAGCATGCTGACCAGTGCGTCTCACAGGCGGAATCCGTAAGTATACATATAGAGCCAAAATATGCAGATACAGTGCGCGAATCCTACGCGGCATGTGCCTGTGTGCACACAGCGAACTCAATTATCGCGTGGGCCCCCGTAAAGCCTGTTGCCTCCTGTAACTGTCGCACTTTCCTGTGCCGCGCCAAGGAAGTGTCCCATGCAAACCATGCACACTGTAACTCACGTAACCGTCGCGAGAGAGTCGCACTGGCAGGACAGGACGATGGACAGTGGACATCCGGGCATTCAGTTCGAGGCTGTATGCATGCGCCGTGTTTCAGAAACGATGGGGATCTGTGGCCTTGGCGCGCATCGGGGTGACAGCTGCTTGCTTGGGTGCAGATGGACGTCAGCCATGCTTATGGAGACAGCCATGGGCGGAGCAGATGCCATTGCAGATTTAGAATCAGATTCAGAATCACTGCAGAGTCCCTCACATGACGAGCGCGATCACGTGGCAAGCCTCCTTGATTGTAAGTAAGTTGTATACGTACGTAAGAATATTTTTTTAGAACGAGTCCTTGAGAGAAGAAGATAGCAGCCATCTATATCGTATACGCGCGTGACTTACGCAGACTGCGCCTGCAGCATGGGCTTCTCGAACGTCTCCGCGCTGGCGGCGCGCATCTCCGGTGCCGGTGCCGGCTCGGCGAGGAGGACGCCGGGATGGAAGGCGTTGAGCGTGTAGATCGCGAGGACGACCATCGCGCCGTCGAGCACGTTGAAGTAGATCTGCGTGCGCAGGACGTGCCCGTGCCACCCGCCCGCCAGCTCCACCGTCCGGTAGATCGACCTGTCCCGGCGTCAGCCGTGCTGGGGCGTGGGGAGGGGAGGGGCGAGGGACGCACCGGATGAAGAGCAGGAGCGTGGAGAACCCGAGCGCGCTGACCATCAGGCGCAGCCGCGGCGTGAGCGCCCCGCGCGCCTGGAAGTCCGCGCTGCGCACGGGCGCGTCGCGGACGTAGTGCACGAGGTAGTCGAGCGCGAACACGCTGAAGAAGATGATCACCACTGCGGGGGTCACAGGGTGTCAGACACGACGACGGCGACAGGCCGGGAGGATCGGACGCACCGAGCTGGAACACGATCCCGCCGAGCATGATGTTTGCGCCCTGTGAATTCGTGTCAGATCCCCGGCCGTGCGAGCGGTGGGGTGGCCAGCCGTACCTGTTTAGATCCTGCGGGTGTGTTGGCCGACGAGGCGATCCCGCCGCCGGCACCCTGGACCACGAGCGCGATCACGTCCTGCGGAACAGCGCGTCAGTCCCGGTGCCCTGTAAGCCTGCAGCGACGACGAACACAAGGGATGAAAATGGCCGTGTCTGGTCAAGAAGAGGTCAGAGCCTGGGCGATGGGCGATGGGCGTTGACGAGACCACTCACACGTCTTGGGCGACACGCGCGAGTACGCCGGGCCGAGCCGCCCAATGATGCGCGAAAAAATCACAAACGTCGCCGCGAGCAGCGGCGTCGGGGCGATGATCGTCGTCGAGATTCTGGGAGATTTGAGATTAGGTCGGCGCATTCCAGAGGCAGGAACCACTTGGACGCACTGGATCAGGAACGGCGTGCCGAGCTGGGGCGAGATGGACGACCAGAGCCGGCCGCTCCACCCGATGATCTCGCCGATGCCGCAGAGCACGGCGGTGGGCAGCAGCCACCACATGCGGAACTTGACTGCCTGGCCCAGATGCACGACTAGATAGATCAAATATTCAGATTAGATTAGATTAGCTGAGATTCCAGATAGGAATCTGGCGCGCACTGGCACTGATCGCGTACAACGCGACGAAGATGACCGTGACGGCTTTGGTGGGGATGTACCCGTACTGGTCGAGGTTGAGCTGCTGGGTGGTCTCGTTGAACGGCGGCTGCTGCTGCTGCTGCGTCGTCGCGTTGGCAAGATCCCGGATAAGCACTGGCCGCGATCAAAGTCAACTCAACGTCGCTAGCAAGGGACAAGGGGCAGCCACCCACCTGAGTACAGAGAGGCCATGGCGATCAGGGGGAGTTGGAGAGAAGAGGAATCGAAGGGGAGGAGAGGAGAAACGTGAGGACGAGGGCCTACCGTACTACATAGAACGCGTTATATCGACCCTCGGAAGGTGACTGTGCTTTGATGACCAGCGCGTCGCATCCGTCCATCCGATCCGGTGCTGTGCCAGTCCTACCACTACGCAGCAGGGTGCGAATTCAGCCAGCGCTCCGCAGTGATGTTTACCCACATCCATTCATTCATTCATTCATTCATTAAAGGCTACAGGGGCTGATCGGTGTGTTGATCTGCAGCCTCAAATTGTGATTCAGAGGGCCAGCCATCACTCGGCACTGGGCGGAGGCGACAGAACTGGACAGTGCGCAGCACGGTCTCGGTTTCCCGACGTGGAATCGCAACCACATTCTGGGGCACATCATCTCACCCCCCCTTCAAAATCGTGTCTGGGCACAGCTATGTATCTGTCACCGGGTTTCGTGTCTGGCAACGTACGAACGCCGCATCTGTTTCGTTTGCATCGTGCACCCTCCTTCAAGTTGCTTCGATATGTAAATGCTTCTGGCCTGCGGGACAACGGCGATTAGAGGCCTCGTCCACAATTACACGGGAATAATGATAGCCGGACGAATCCGTCCTGTCCTGTCCTGTCCTGTCCGCCACTCGCCTAGCCGTCAGCGCCTGCAGCCCTCATCGCCGCCTTCTTCCCGTGCTTGCGCGCGCGCGCCCGTCCGCTCGAAGCCGAAGCAGGCGGCGAGAATCCGAGCATACTGCTCGTCGTGGATTTCGCGACACCTGCCTCTGGCTCTGGGACGGGGGGCCCGGATCCGGCATCAGCATCGTAGGGCGGCAGCGAGAGATTCGGATCACCCCACACGACGGGCTGCGGCGAGTGATAGAATTCGATGCCGAGCTCGCGGCAGTAGTGCTGCACAGCCGCGTGGAAGGCCGTCTTGCGCGCGTTTCGCAGGCCCCAGTCCTGCCAGGTCCTGATATCACGAGCAACGCGTCAGCAAGCGGCGGTGGGCAGAAAAACACGCGCGCGCGAGGGAACCGACCGACCCGTTGTGCCCGATCCCCATGGTGAACTCGATGTAGCGCTGGAACGAGATGGTCTGCAGCGTCACCCCCGTGCTCGGGACGAACCACCGGTTTTCCTCGGTCGACAGCCAGCGGTTGACCGCAGCCTCCAGTGCGTCGAGTTTCGCCAGCGGAGTGCGCCAGGCCACCTGCATCGTCAGATTCTCGTATGTTTTCTGGAAAGAGATTAGCCCGAGCGCGTGCGAGTAGAAGTGTGGGCACTCACCCCAGACCGCCGGACGTTGACACTACATATAGCATTGGGAGATGTGATCGGAGTAGAGGGCAGCACGCACATGAACTTGTTGGCCAGCAGACTGTTGAAGTAGTACGATTCGACGCCGTCAGCGCGCTGGAAGACCGTCTGCGCAGCACTCAGTTACCAGGCCCACTCCCTCTCCGCAACTCACCGCAAACAAAGTCATCTTCTTGACGACGACGACCTCGTTGTCGACGATGCACCGATCGCCCGTGTCGAACGGATGCGTGATGAACAGGAACACGATCGCGTCGAACGCGCCGCTCGCAGCCGCGCGGAAGACGAAGCTCGCGCCGATGCCCAGCGTGTAGATGCTCGACAGGCTGGACGCGATGTCGACGCCAAAGATGCCCAGGCTGAGGAAGAACTGCACGCCCAGCGCGCCGAGCAGCAGCAGCTGGTCGAGCGTCGCCATCGCCTCCCCGACGTCCTGCATCGACCGCGCGAGCGCCCGCCGCTCCTTGCACACTTTGAGCAGCGTCGTCTTCACCTCCGCGCGCGAGAGGTCCCCGTTGTTGTCCGCGTCGAACACGCGGAACGCGGCGTCCGCGGCGCGTGCGCTGCCGCCGAAAGCCGGCTCGAAGTCGCGCGGGAGCAGGTAGTTGCGCGACGGGTGTTTGAGGGCGGTGAAGATGGTACGCGCCAGTCGCTGATCATCACATTCATTGAGTTGACGCGAGTGCGCAGAAACAACACGAACCTTGGCTTCGGACGGCGAGTTGAGCTGCAGATAACCGGCCTCATCTTCCCCCTTGATGTTCCTTGCGTCATGTAGCACGACGTCTTTGAGAGCCTTGGCCGCCGTCCCCACCAGAGTGGCATCGGGATCGCCCCGGGTCGGCGGATATCGGTGGTCATCCACCACGGAGCCGGCGGACTGCTGCCGACTGGGTGCAAAGCGCTTGGGTGCGAAGCCGAAGCCATCCCTGTCCAGAACAGGCGTGGTAAACCCACTCCAGAATTGCGCCGCCAGATTCCCCGCGCGGAGCTGCTTCGGCGCATAGGCGCGCAGCTGCTCGACGACGCGGAGGGTCTCGTGCACGGCATCGATGCGCTCCTGGAAGGCCCTGCGGTGGAACGCGAATGCGATGAGCAGCGAGAGCAGCCGCTGCAGGCTGAGCACGAGCGTGAGGAAGAAGAAAAACTCGACCACTTGGTACAGAGTGTCGGTGTACACCTCGTGATTGGCATGCTGGGAATCAGTGCCCGGGTGCAGGTGGAAGATGTGGTCGAATATGATGATCCAGGATACCCAGCCGCTCGCCGCGTAGAAAATCGGCTTGACCGCGTTTTTCGTGTGGTTGTATATCTCGATCCGCGATTCGATGTATGCGGGCACGTGACCCCAGAACGCATTGAGCAGGAACCTGGCGAGCGAGGGTATGACGTCGATGATCATAGCCAGCGTCCAAGAGACGAGCAGATTGGCTGCAGCCCAGAAGAGCCACGCCTCGACGTTGACGGTGACACGGTGCCGGTACGCCGTCTCATCGCGCTTGTACCAGAAGAATACGAGCAGGACGGCCGGCGCGACGAGGAGGGCGGCGAGGAACGTCGAGCCGATCAGGGATGAGAAAAGCAGCGTGAATATCCTGCACGGGTCAGCATCTCTATCAATACACCAGGCAAGACCCCGCAACACCTTTTCACACCCCACCCCGTCGTCTGTTTATGGGCGCCCATCCTCTCCTCGAATTTGGCCTCCACATCGACCAGGTCCTCTTCATCCGACCAATCATAATCTCCGTCATCGTCATCGCCGTCAGTGTCGGCGTTGGAAACCGCATCGTCGTCGTCTTCGGGTCCCTGATCGGGAGGACCAGCCGCCTTGCTCTTCCCCTTCGCAGAGAAGTCGGGCTCGTTGACGGAGCGGTAGCTCGGCGTAGGCGACGACGCGGGCACGAACAGGTTGGGCTGGCTGGCGTGCGCCTTGTACGGCGGGGACGCAGGAGCAGCGGCGCCCAGGTCCTGCGATTCCTCCGAGCGCGCAGCAGGCTCGGACGTCGGCGCCTCCGCGCGGACCCTGCTGTGGTTGGAATGGGGGAGCTCAAGGAGGGCTGGAGGGGTGCTGGACATGATGGGAGACGGTGAAGGGAGGTGTGTGCGCCAGATATAATATCGGGCGAGTGTGACATATGAAAAACCGGACAGGGTGCGTAAGGGTGGGGCGCGTACTCCACACAGGGGCTGAATGTGTTGGTTAGGCTCTCGGAGAGATGGTCATCGGAGTAGAGTGCCCCGTTGGTAGTCAGATCGCTGTCGCAGGAGGCCCGCGGGCCGGCTCGTGTGCTCAGAAGCACCACATTCGATAGTGATTCGAGGGGAGTGACGGAGGGACGCCGGACGCGGCTCGTAAGATGGAGAAACTTGAGGGAGACGGATAACACGTCATCGCGAGCGTGGAGAGACCGGATGGTTACCACAGATTCAGAGCGCGTTTGTACCCTCGGGCTCAGCGATGAGGGTGGAAGAGAAGCGTTGTGAGACAGGCACTCGTGCGTGGGACGCAGTGTTTCCGTGAGTCGGGAACAGGACGCGAGCATTCGACAGAGACCTGTTTAGCGTGTTCAGTTCCATCCTTCCGATGAGTATCTGTGCTGGTGTGCGACCGCGGTTGCTCGCGTGTTGCCAGACAGTCCAATGAATTTGCGGCGGGGCAATGGCAGTGATCATGATGAATGATGAGATCACCAGGATCTGCGGCACTTGCACAACATCCACAACTGATGGGGTTCGAGCTGTTGGTTGAGGAGTGCCAACAAAGATCAAAGAGGCTCTGGAGTGCTCGGGCAAGTAGAGTAAAGGACTCGGAGCTACCGAAGCAATTGATAACGATGAGTCGTCGAAGGCGTTTATTTTGAAGGTAGGACGTGTATTCGACACAGGTTGTTGGTGAGATGGTCGTTGGAGCATAGTGCCCCGTCTGCGATAGCTGCAAAGTCCGCGGGTCGTTGGTACGATTGGTGCTCAGAAGCAGCACACTGATGCGGGCAAGTGAGGGACGCGTTCATGAAGAGGAGAACGAGGAAGGCGCAATAGCACGTCAGAGCGAGCGTGAGAGCGCCTCAGGCTCAGAGGTGGAGGTGATTGCTCAACACAAAGTCTATGGTGTTCTGGATGAGGACATGGATTTCTGACGGGGAGCCGTTCAGAGTGTCCAGTTCTATCCCTCCCCATCCAGTAGGTACCTATGAGATCGTTGCCGAGATGCCATCAATATTAGAGAGAGCCTTGGCGACAGGTGTCAGATGTCGTTTATGTAGCTTGATAAGCACGTGATACTCGATCACAGCTTCTTGCTGAGGCTGATGTGCCGCCCGGATGAGCTTCGCACCGTCATTAGTCACTGAGACATAGACGGGTCCCAGCTGGCTCTCTGACCGATTTGCCCATCCTTCTAGTGAATGTATTCGACAATCGGACGAGAAGGTCATCTACGGATGGCCAACTCACTCTTGAGTACTGGTGGGAATCCTCTAGACTCAATGTGTGCGTCCGGCATCACACATCCAAATGTGACAGTACGCATGGTGATCCCACCGGCATGTGATACCTCCGCATCCCCGACTCGGACAAGTTGCCCACACCAGACACATACACCGCATCATCATATGCGCATTCACGATCCTTCAATCAAGCTCTCCTCTAACCCCCATCCACCATGTCCGCTTTGAAGCAATACACGTACGAGGAGGTTTCCAAGGTGCCCTTAGACACCGTCGTTCCCCACCGCGTGTGCTGAATCAATTCCACTGCAGCATAACAAACCAGGCGACTTGGTACGCATCCCCCTTCCCCGCACCCCGACGAGCCCACCGCGGCTTACCCGCGTTTCTTTCTCTCCCAGTGGGTCGTCATCGACGCCAAAGTCTACGACTTGTCCAAGTTCGCCGACCTGCACCCGGGTGGTCCGAGCGTCCTGTTCGCGGAGGGCATTGGTGCGCAGTCACGCCATCCGTGCTTCCACGTCCGCTCATCTCAACTGCCACAGCTGGCAAAGATTCCACAGAGGTACGCAGGATCTGAACCACCGTCTCGCCGCCGCCGAACGCCGTTGCCAGGCCTTCTTCGGCCTCCACCGGCTAGAAGTCCTGCACCGTCCGCAATACGCCCGGTTCCAAATCGGCGCGATCCTCGGCGAGGAGCCGACCATCAAACCCCTCGCACCGGGCGAGCTCTCGAAGGTGCCCTACGCCGAGGCGACGTGGCTCGTGAGCGGGTTCAAGAGCCCGTACTTCACCGACCGGCACCGCAAGTTCCAGACGGCCGTGCGCAAGTTCTGCGTCGAGGTGCTGCAGCCCGAGTCCGAGAGCGTCGAGGCGAGCGGGAAGAAGATCTCGCAGGCGGTCGTCGACAAGGAGGCGGAGGTGAACCTGATCGCGATGCGGCTCGGCCCCGGCAAGCACCTGCAGGGCCTGCGGCTCATGCACGACACGGTCGCGCCGGAGGAGTTTGACTACTTCCACGAGGTGGGTCCGTTGTCCCGCGATGCAGCTCCCCGTTTCTGAATCGAACAAGTTGATCATCAACACGGAGACATCACGATTCGGCGGACGCGGATTCTTCGACGGCAATCTCGCAGGCGCCGTCATCGGACTACCTCCCATCCTCAACTTCGGGTCGCCCGAACTAAAAGCGCGTATTGTCCCTGAGGTCTTTTCTGGCAAGAAGTACATGGCGCTGGCGATTAGTGAGGCCTTCGCTGGGTCCGATGTGAGCGGTATCCAGGTCCGTGGGCGCTGCTTGTGCCGCTCGATTAGGGTAATGGAAGCTATATAGACCACTGCCGTGCGGGATGGCGACTTTTGGATCGTCACCGGGACAAAAAAGTGGGTGCCTCAAATAAATGCAGATACACCAATCTAATCGCGTGCTCCAGATGGATCACCAATGGCGTGTTTGCGGATTACTTCACCACGGGCTGCAAAACCGACGTAAGCACGCTGTGCTACATTCATTGGTGCATCTGACGCCCTCCCCAGACCGGATTCACCGTGATCGTGATTCCGCGCGACGACAGCGTCGGGACGAAAGCCATCAAGACCTCGTACTCCTCGACCGCCGGCACCGCCTTCGTGACATTCGACAACGCGCGCGTGCCCGTGTCCTACACGCTAGGCAAGATCGGCGACGGCATGAGCGTCATCCTGACCAACTTCAATCACGAGCGGTGGATGATCACGTGCATGGCGTTGGCGTCGCAGAGGACCGTCGTCGAAGAGTGCCTGAAGTGTGTCTTTGGTGGGGATCTGGCCCGTTCGTTCACGCGGCTGATTCGGTCTGTAGATGGGCCTCGCAGCGCATGGTGTTCGGGAAGCCGCTGACGTCGCAGGCTGTGATCCGGGGCAAGCTCGCGGCGATGATCTCGCGAGTGGAGAGTGCCCAGAGCTGGCTGGAAAACATCACACATCAGATGAACAATGTGCGCACCTTCGTGGGATGATAGCACTCCAATCTGACTGCTTCCAGATGACATACAAACAGCAGAGCTCGCTGTTGGCTGGGCAGATTGGGCTGCTGAAAGCGTTCGCCTTGTTTTTCTTGCTCGCTGTGATAGTGCGCTGACCCTCCATGCACAGATTCGTGACACGCTCTGGACAAGAGATCGCTGCTGGTATGTCTCTGATAGTAGACGCATCGATCGATGTCCGAACTCAACTCTTTCACAGATGCAACACAAATCTTCGGTGGACGAGCGATCACTGCGACGGGAATGGGCAAGTACATTGAGAACTTCCGGCGAAACATCGCGTTCGACTCGAGTGAGCGATCTCTGCCGATCTACCTGCAGTGCTGTACCAACTCACGTGATTCTCTAGTTTTGGGTGGTACGGAGGATGTGTTGGCTGATATGGGTGTGAGGCAGGCGCTGAAGAAGATGCCTGCCGACGCGCGACTGTAAAAAGTTGAACAGATACGATATGCTTTATCTCTAGTTCTTCTGAACCGAGTAACTTAGATGCTCTTCGCGCCCTGGCAAGTGCTCCCATCCAGGCGATTTCGAGCGCAGGCAAGCGCTTGGCCGTCGAGTGTGATTTCATGTCGCTTCAATTCTGTAAAAATAAAACGGGATCCCGATCGAAGTAATTTTTCACGCAAGTAAGCAAGCGGTGGATCTGCTTAGCCGATTGTGCTCTCCACGTCGCTTCGAACACTAAACGGCGGCGTGAGCTAAGCCGCAGCGACAGAGTCGATTTTCTATAAAGGACACAGCTGATCCAGGCAACATTTTTCAGTCCATTTCCTCCAAGTAAGTATGAGTTCTATGATAGGATTGACGACGACGATCAAGTGATCAAAAAGTCAAGAAGTACTGGCATTACGTATCCGGCAGGAATGGTCCATGCACCCGATTGGCTGGCCAGCCACGTGAGGTGCTTCTTCCGCGGCAGGGTTTACTCGGCGCCACAGTAGGCCCGCGGAAACTCAGTATAAGGTCACTCAAGGACCAAAGACTGTTTTACTTTACGAAAATTGCCATTTGGGGTAGTTTTACTTTAAATTTCGAGGGACCCCTCAGTTTTTGTGCATACGTTCACGTGAGGTCTTTTTTGAGCTCTTGGACTGAGATTTACTGCACGTTCTGTGCTTAAATGGGTGAAAGCTGGGAAAAAGCGAGGGGAACTTGTCTGATCAGCTCCGCTTTTAGAACATTTCTCTCCCCCTCAAGCCCGAAACCGCTCAACTGGGGGCTGTTTTACGCTAAATTCTGAGGTACCTTGGCACATTTTGACCCGTTTTACTTTATTCTACTGAGTGAGGTTGGGCCATTTTTGGACCTTGTTTTACTTTATTTTTGAGTGACATAATACTGAGTTTCCGCGGGCCTGCCACAGTACATCGATGTGGCCCCGTGAAAGCTGACCCCGCTTGCTTGCCTGCCGTGCCCTTCCATGTCCTTTGGCGCCCGATGAGCGCTGCAGATACCCAGGAGCAACTGTGCGCGCCCTACCTCTCCCCCAGCGCCCCATCCGAACCTGACCCGTCTGTCTGCGCGCAGGAACTGGAACTACTACAGCAGCCTCGTGTCGTTCAGTGCGTCCCCGCGTCTGGTGTCGTGTGCGTGTGTGTGTTGACGCGCCGTGACGCGCCTTGCAGCGCTCCTGTACTACGACTACGTCCTCACGCTCGAATGGGAGGTCGCGCGGTACTGGGGGCTGCGGTGCACGGCCCCCAGCGTCCTCTTCTTCCTGAACCGGTACGGGACGTTGTTCGGGATGGTCCCGGTGGTGATGCAGAACTTCTGGGCCGCGGAGAGCTCGCCGCGGAAATTCGCGGTGCGTGGCGGATCGCTCGCGCGGCAGGGCTTGGGTGAACTGACTGCGTCGTCGTCTCGTCCCAGTAGATGTGAGTCAGCACCCGTGTGTTATCTGTATTTGCATAGGATGCTGGAATGAACCCTGGTCCGTAGATGCGACGTGCTGGAAATGTACCACAGCTTCTTCTCGCTGGTCATCCAGATCATCATCGGGGGTGTGTCCTGTGTCCCCCCCCCCTGCTGCCCGTCCCACGGAATTGTTGACTGCGTCCCCAGTCATGCTGATTCTCCGGACCTACGCCCTCTACGAACGCAGTAGGCGCGTGCTCGGATTCGTCGTGGGCGTCGCGGCCCTGGTCATCGCTGTGGCCGTGGTACGTGCGTCCGCTGGGCATCCGCTCCTCCTCCTCCTGCCCCCGCCTGCTGGCTGAATCATTCTGCGCCAGTGGGCTGTCGTAGCAGGCCCGACGACGGCCGCCGATGTCAAGATGCCGCCGCTCGATCTGGACCGCGGGTGCGCGGCTGGTGTCACCCGTTCCCAGTACGTGCTGTCCGTGCTGAGATGCAACCCACCGCCGGGGCTGACGCGGACGACGACTTGCAGGGCCGCGGGGCTTGCGATCGCGTGGTCCAGCATGATGCTGTTCGACTGCGTGATCTTCGTGCTGACGCTGTACCGCGCGCTGAGCCGTCGGCGGGCGATGGGCTTCCAATTATTGACGGTGCTGCTTCGTGATGGTGCGTTGCGGGTGCGTTTCTCGTCTCGTCGATCAGCTTCTGAGTGTGTCTTCCCAGGTGCGATCTATTTCGGGTGCGTTCGGCTTTCGTGTCGATGCGTTCTGTGCTTGATGGTTGCAGCGTTATGGTTCTCATCAACGTCGCCAATATCCTGACCTTCTTCGTAAGCGTTGGGCCTCTTTATGCGTCACGCCGGAAGCTAATGTTGCGCAGATGGGCAAGGTGGATATTATGTTCACATCCGATTTCCTAGTCGCCTGCTCATCTTGCAACCAACAGCCCTATACCAAGGGTGTGCTCGCCACATTCACCAGCACGTACGTCGTCGTCGTCTACTCTACGGCTCCTTCGGTGCAGCTAACGCCAGCACAGGATATCCTCTGTCATGATATCCCGGCTGATGCTCAACCTGCGCGACCCAGGACTCCAGAAAATGCCGGCATCGCACGGCACCGGAACCACAAGCATGTCTCTGGGAAGCGGGACCGATGCTCCGGCCCATGGTGTCTTTTCGACGTATGTAAGCCAGGCCGAGACGGCGGACACCGCTGGTACCGGATATTGTGCGCCCAAGGGCTTGTCTGTCTCCTTCTAGCCTTGACTTGTGCTCGCAGATTCGGATCATATGGAGCTCGAGCAGCGCCTGGGTGGAAGATGATGCTTTCCAGAGAGACACATTAATACCTGCATAAAGACTTGATACTAGCATAGAGACCCGGTACTTACCGCACTTACTCCTGATTGTATTGATAGCCTTCCTCCTTGAGCCCGCGCGGACAGTCAGCAGCTTACACGATGTGGTTCAGGATCAGCTCCCAGCAATATCTTTCTCGGTGGCCGAGGGCGGGTTTCACGCATAATTGCACATGTTCTACATACATAACTGGCTAACCAAACGTCTGGCTCTGTAGGACGCTGAGTACCGCGAACGAACATCGGGAAAAGAAGACGCACCGAACGGGCGCTGCTCTTCGCCTTGGACAGCCTCCACTCATCCGGCTTCTCGTACTTGTTGTACAGCGGCTCGATCTTCTCCTGCTTCTTGCGCTTGCTGATCTTGTTCGCGTCCGCGACGCGGAAGAACTGCGGCGCGACCTCGACGAGCCACTTGGGCTCGACCGCGGTCACGTTGTGGCAGTACTCGCGCGTGGTCAGCACCAGCTCGTGGTACACGAGCCACTCGGGGTTCCGGTTGAACAGCGCGGACGACGGGTGGATGTACACCGGCGTGCCCTCGACGAGCGTCTTGTAGCCCTCCTGCGGGTCCTTCTTCGCTGCATTCCGGAAGAACCCGGAGCAGATCGCCTTGCGCACGGTGTTGTAGTCGCGCCCGGCGGACAGGATCGAGTGTTTGTAGCGGTCCATGATCCCGAGCAGCTGCTTCCGCACGTCCTGCGCCCGCCGCATGCTCCGTGCCTGGATAAAGTTCTCGTAGCACCACGGATTCGAGAAGTTGGCCTGCTTCCAGCCGTTGTAGACCGTCAGCAGCGTCAGGTGGTCGCCCTCCGGCTGGTGGAACTTCGCCTTCTTCTGGTCCGCCTGGCCCTGCTTCTCTTTGGGGCGATAGAACACCGTCTGCACGGACAGCATCGCCACGATCGACAGAATCTCCTCCGAGCACCCGAGGTCGACAGAGGCGATGACCATCTTGGCCTGCGCCGGGTCCATCGGAAAATCAGCCATCTTCCTCCCCAGCCGCGTCAGCAGCCCCTCGTCGTCGAGCGCCGACAGCGCATACAGCGCCTCGAGCGCCGTCAGCATCGTGTCCGCCGGCGGCGGGTCCATGAAGTCGAAGCTCAGCAGGTCGTTGATCCCCATGGCCTTCAGCTGGAGGATCGTCGACGAAAGGTTCGTCCGCTGGATTTCGGGCACCGAGTTCGGCAGCATCTCGTTGCGGAACGCAGCCTCGGTGTACAGCCGATAGCACTTCCCGGGCCCTGTGCGGCCGGCGCGGCCGGCACGCTGCCGGGCCTGGGCCTGCGAGATGGGCATAACCACGAGCGAGTCCATGCCCAGCCTCGGATCGTACGCGCTCTGCTTCACGAAGCCCGGGTCCACGACGTAGTAGATGCCCGGGATCGTCAGACTGGTCTCCGCGACGTTGGTGGCGATGACCACCTTCCGCGCACCCGGTGGCGTGGGCTCGAACACGCGCGACTGCACCTCCGAGGGCAGAGCGGAATAGATGGGCAGGATGATCAGCTCAGGGACTTTGGGGCCCAGCGCTTTCATGCGCTCGAACAGGATCTCGCACGCCGTGTCGATCTCCTCCTGCCCAGTCAGAAAGAGCAGAATGTCGCCGGGAGGTTCCGAGAGATGGATCTGCATCACCGTGATGAGCGAGGCATCTAGATAGTCGCTTTCGGGATCCTTGGTGTACAAGATCTCCACAGGATAGGTCCGACCAGGAATCGTGAACAAGGGACATCCGAAAAAGTACTTGGAGAACTTTTCCGCATCGAGCGTGGCGGATGTCACGATCAGCTTCATGTCAGGACGTCGCTTGATAGTTTCTACCCAGTGGATGAGATCAGCCCAGTCCTCCGATAAGTTGAAAACCACTCACTCTTCAGCAAACCAAAGAGAACGTCTGTCGAGATGGTCCGCTCGTGGGCCTCGTCCAACATGATCACCGAGTACTGACTGCACAGCGGGTCGATGAGACACTCGCGCTGCAGCATCCCATCGGTCATGTACTTGATCCGGGTGTCCGGACTCGTGCAGTCCTCGAAACGGATCAAGTACCCAACCTCTTGGCCCAGACGGCATCCGACTTCCTCGGCCACACGTTTGGCAACCGACATGGCTGCCACACGACGTGGCTGGGTGCAGCCAATGCGGCCTTTTTCGGCATACCCGGCCTCAGCAAGGTACTGCACCATTTGTGTGGTCTTCCCTGATCCGGTTTCTCCAATGACAATGAGGACTTGATGCTACGCGCAAGTCAGACAAAGAAATCAGTGATACCTAAGCACTGCACACCTTGGCTACGGCTTCCAGCAACTGTTCCCGTAGCTTGAATATCGGCAGACTCTTGCGCTGATCCTGAATGCTGAGATTGGTTATCTCTCCAAAAGTCGTCGCCTTGTTGAACGTCGACTCCTTCCACTTCGGGACTTCGCTCGCCCGCTGGCCCTTGAGGTTGCCGCGCATATCCTGAGCAAACATCTTGTCCGCATCAGTTGCCATCGGATCGAGCCACGGTTGGGTAAAGTCCCTGGCGTGCGAATCGGCTTCTTCGTTGGCTTCATGCTGGCGCAGTTCTCTCCGTTCTTTGGCCAGCGACGCCCCGCTCAGTGCAGCACGATTCAGCGACCCATCTGGCGCCTTGACGATCTTCACCGGACTGAGCTCCAGCGTGCGCTTAGTCTGCCCCGCAAGGAACGGTGGCTCTTCTTCTCGCACTTCGACATCCAACTCTTCGTCGATCTCGCCCCGAACGGCGGGGTTGTGCAGGTCTTCGTCGAGTTCGGGATACTCAGACGCGTCCAGTGCACCGGAGGATATGAGCTGTTTGAGCTCCCATCGCTCAGGTGAGGTTAGGCGCTTGGCGGAGCGGATAGGTGCGTCATTGACGGGGCGGTCGTTCCCCGATCGAAGAGGGACAGCGTTGGCGCCTGAGGACGCATACGACATGCGTTTTTGCTCCTGCTCAATCATCTCAGCCTCCGTCTGGATCTTGAGGTGTGGTGAGAGATCACGACCGGTCACTTGGTCGACGTCCTTCATCGAGAGGCCGATCCGGTTTCCGGCGAGACTCATGACTTTGACTTTGACCGGTTGACCGCGACTGAGGAAATCGGACGCAGAGTTAACACGTCCAGTTTGTATGTTAGATATATGGATCATGCCTGTATGGGATTGAGGCCTGCAGACGAAATGGAACGGCAGTGAAAACGCACCTTCTGTCCGTCCATTGACACCTTCGAGTGTCACAAAAGCCCCAAAGTCGCGAATGCCCGACACCTTGCCGTCGTAGATCTTATACAACACGGGTCGGTCATCCAGCGTGCGTCTCTCGTTCCTGCCCTGGTTCCGCCCGTACCCCCTCGAGGCGGACTAGGACTTCGTCTCCTCGGGGAGGTGGAGCGACCACGTCGCTGTCGTTTGGGAGACCGTTCCGAGTCGGCCGGCCTCTTCCTGCCCGCAACGAGGTCCCCAAGCTCCTGCAGAAACACATCATCCGGGAGCGGCACGGGTTCCGTGTCCTTCATCGCCAGCCCGGGCAGCATCCGCTTCTTTTTGTCCTGCTCCGACAGCTCCCCTTCCAACGCCTTTCCCTTCCCCTTGGACGACTTGTGCTTCTTCTTGTACTTGGGATGCATGCTCAGGATGAGACGGTCCACATTCTCGACGAAGGAGTCTGGGAACACCGCGCCGACTTCCTTGAGCTTGGCTTTGAATGCGGGCAGGCTCTGTTTCGACTGTTCGTGGAGAGCGATCACAAATTCGGCGAGCGTCTTGTCGTTCATGCCCGTGTGGTTGTCGATTTCCTGCACGATTTTGGCGACCAGCGACAAGAATTCGAGGTTGTACAGGTCCCCATTTTGCGCCATGCGGAGTCGTGAACGGTGTTGGTCAGACGGAGTGAGCGGTGAGTTGCTCACGGGCCAAACAAGGGTCAATAGACGCGATCACGAACGACTGAAGATCTCCGAGTCATCACAGTCGTCCCTCCAGATCTCTTCGCACATTATCATGGCTCCTTTCTCATCAGACTCGTTTAAACCTCTTCTCGACAGGCTCGTGCAGACACCCGAGTACTTTACTCCAGAAGATCTCACTCTTGCGCTTAACCACCTCTTCACGCCTGACGCCGTTTCCCCCGTCCAGATCGGCGCGTTCTTGACTGCGCTGCACATCCACCGTGTCGAGAGGCGGCCGGAGTCGCTAGCTGCAGCAGCGGCGGTCTTGCGAGAGCGGTCCCTCAAAGCCACCATCGAAGATCGGGAAGGCGATTTCATCGTAGACGTCGTCGGCACCGGAGGCGATGGCTTCAACCTATTCAACGTAAGCACGACCGCAGGGATAGTCGCGGCGGGCGCCGGTGCCCGAGTAGTCAAGGTCTGATGCGCGATCGATTGCACCTCCCCATACGTCCCTGACGCATCACCGCAGCACGGCAGTCGCGCGTCCACCTCCAGCTCGGGCTCGGCGGACCTACTTCAGGCTCTGGGCTGCACATTCACCGCGCCCACGCCGGGGACGACGACGCCCATCCCCCGCGTCCCCTTCACATTCATCCTCGCGCCCCACTACCACCCCGCGCTCGCCTTCATCGCGCCGTACCGCAAGGCGCTCCCGTTCCGCACGATGTTCAACATCCTCGGGCCGCTGATCAACCCCGCCAGCCCGCAGGGCATGGTCCTCGGGATCGCGGAGCCGGAGATCGGGCGCACGTTCGCGCGGTCGCTCAGCGAGGGCGGCGTCTCCCACGCGCTCGTCGTGTGTGGTTTCGAGAAGCTCGACGAGATCAGCTGTGCCGGCCCGACCCATGCCTGGGAGCTGAAGAACGGGCGGGTGACCGAGCTCACACTCACCCCGGCGGACTTTGGGGTCGAGACCCATCCTCTGAAGGCTGTGGGCGGCGGATCCCCTGCTGAGAACGCAGAGACGTTCAAGAAGTTGCTGACATCTGGAAAAGACATCCCAGTGGCCATGAAGGCTGTGTTGGATTTCGTGCTGATCAACGCATCTGCGTTGCTGGTGGTGGCCGGGATCGCAACGGATTTCAAACATGGAACGCAGCTGGCATTGGAGAGCATAACGTCTGGAAAAGCTTGGGCAGCCCTGCAGACTTTCAAAGAGGCGGGACAGACAAGCAGCTCTTGAATGCCTGATGAATTGCTTTCCGCTTACAAGGCGTGTGTCTCAGCGCGGAAACCAAAGATGAAAATACAGGTTTGTTCGTCGTACACCTCTTCGTAGATATGTTACGTCAAAGCTCCGTCCCGATTGTCCCGACTTTCGCTGGAGCTTCAATCGCAGCCAGACCGGAACGGACCAGCCTCACCCGCTCATCTATCAAGTCCAGAGTACTGAGAATCGACGCGAGTTCTGCTTTGGCATCGGTTGGAAGCGAGGCAGAGGGAGCTTGGGCCGTGGGCGGCAGCTTCTTCCCGGACGAGAGCTCGTCCCACAGCGCAGTGACGACACCCGCGACCCACTCCTCCCGATCCTCGTTCCTGACGCGCTCGCGGTGCCTCCTTTGAGTCTTCTCCGCGGCTGAGCCCATGCGCATGTACGTCCAAATGTTACTCAGCAAGAGCACAAATATGAGCACGTAGAGGATGCTGGTCGAGTTTGAGTTGTCCCAGGCATCGCGCAGGAGCTCGAGTGCTCCTTTGGTGCTCGTCTTGGCGACACGGTAGGCGCCGTCGAACGTGTCCCAGGCCCATTGTAGACCGCGACCCTGGCGTGCTTTGCGTTTCTCTTGTTCGGTGGGCTCTGCGACATTGACTGCGGCGGTCGAGGCCTCGGCCGCAAGCTCGGGTACAGCAGCGGCTGCCAGATCCACGCCCTCTGGCATGAACTCAGACTGATGCTCTTTGATGTACCCTCGCATCGCCTTGTCCAGATCACCGTGGTACACCTTCTGGCCGTCGATGGCCGACTTTTCGATGATGCCTGCGCGTGCACGGTTAGTCGGTTTTGCTCAGCTCAACACACACCAACGCACCCTTGATGAAGCTACGCCCGGTCCAGTCCACCTGAGTAGTGACCACAACCTTGGTCGAGAACGACGTGCACCACATAATGCACGTTCGCGTCTTGACAGAAAACACGCCGCCACTGGGCACATCAGGTGTCCGAGTGGTTGTCAGCATCGACACATAATCGTCGAAATCGATGTGTGCAAGCTCGTCTCGGATCTCGCATTTCGTCGACTTGGGCCCCAGGCTCGCGTTCAGAGGTTTGATATACGACATGTTGCGAGTGAGCAGCTTCGACCCGGGCGTAGCAGGAGACCAGTCCGATACCTGGATGTCTGAATCAAGTAGTGAGTTACAGTAGATCGAGCCAGTGGGTGAATCACGACTGACCAGTCAGTTTCTGATTTACAGCCATAAACTCTTTGATAAATCCGCTGGCGAAGATCAAGTTGTAGATCCGTTCAGGAGTACCAGGTATGACAATCTCGAGGGCCGTCTCTGAGAAGTGAGCTCCCTGTTTGCCACACGCGCAGACCGTTGCCTTGTGCTCATTTGCTGCTGCGGGACCCGATCCGATGAGGGTGCCTTCGGGGATTGTCAGTCCCGTGTCGTTTGCAACGGAGCCTGAGCCGATAGAGATGGCGTCACTGGGGCGGACCAGTCGCCAGATGTTATGAATGACGTCGAAAGTCGTGTCGCGGGACAAGAAGGAAGCAAAGGTATAGTCCGCCCGCGGGGTGACCACATGAATAGCGTTGGGTATAACAAAAGCTGTTACTTTCTTCTCCAGGGTCGTAATTTCATAAATGGAAATCGTTAACTGCGCTATGGTGAGAAGGGACATGACACATCTCCGCAAGTGACTCACATCAGTGACCCAGCCAAAAATGTTGGCGTGAAAGCAGAGATGGTTCTCAGAGACGTAGATTCGTCCTTGTACAAGAATATCGCGCTGTAGAGCGCATCCATAGTCTATGCATGTCATGTCAAACGACTCTCAGTGTCCCGCTGACACCACGCACCATCAATAAGATAATCCCCTTCTGGGATGCCCGGGAACAGTTCGTGAAAGTCGGCATTTCGTTTATTGCTGGCGACTGCGAAACCGGTCACCGGAATATCATCCTCTCCAAGATCCAGATCCAGTCCACTTTCGTCGTCATCTTCCGTATCAGTCGTGTTTCCGTCAGAACTGTCCTCCAGACCGGAATAGTATGCTCCTTGATGCTCATCTGCATCCTCGTGGCTCACGGCCGAGCCCGTCGTCTGTCTCCGCCGGTGCTCGCGTTTGTCGCCAGATTTGGTACTGGTGCTCGTGTTCTGTCTGCGATGTCGGGACGCTGCCGGCTCTGGGCTGGCGGTGCTAGTCGCTCTGCGGCGGGCCGACATCTGCGGACTCTGCAGAGGAGACGTCACGAGGGACGGGCCGCCTCCGCTCGCCTCGCCAGTGTTCATGACCTGGGGGTTCATCGTCGTCTGGTGGTCTACTGACATGCCGTGGTTCGCCATTGCCAGCCCTGTCGCTGCCAGCGCGCCAGCCAAGCCAACGGGCTTCTTCGGGACGCTGCGTTTCCACGGCCGGGACGGCGACTTGCTCTTTCCACCCTTGGAGGATGTGACCGAGAACACATCAGTGTCTCGGCGGCTCGGAGGAGGGGATCCACCCATAGACGACACTGGACTCATTTCTCGGGACCTTGTTGGCGGAGGAGAGTCAACGAGTTCAGGTCTGCCCTTGCGCACCTCAGCAGAGGCTGCCGGATCCGGCAGATTTGGCACAGCTGGGGGTTGCGCGTTCGTCACTTGCTGTCGTTTCAGCGACTTATTGGAAGATTGCGTGCGAAGCGGGGGAGGCGGAGGTGTTGGCACTTGACTCGACTTGGATCCCTTTGGAGTAGGTGGGCGCGATGGAGTGGTAGCAGGAAGTCCTTCGATGGGAGGCGCAGCTGCTGCTGGTTTTGGCGGCACGGGATGCTCGGGACTCGCATCATTGGCCACGACAGGCGATGGTGGGATGACTGTCACGCTAGGGTTCCCACTGCTGCGACCAGAGTGACCAAGGGTCGAACCATTCCGTGACGAAGACTCCACAGTCGATGGCGATTGGCTACGAGTGTCGGATGGCGAAATGGGGGACGATGAGCTAAGGGAGCGATCTCTCGGGTGCGTTGCTGCGGGGGCCTTGACCAGTTTCGAGAGAAAATTGGGCGCCATCACATAACTCGACGCCGGGGTATAACTGTTTGGAGAGCAGAAGAAGCACGCGACTGACTATCTTGGGTGAGTGTGAGACGCGTTCCCCCTATGTGCACTTGACGTCCACTGTGCGGGGAGAAAAGGTATTGAGGTAAGTGAGGAGCGCGCGTTGACGCTCATGCTCACGAGTGATGTCAGAGAATGAGCTACGAGACAGTCCGATGATTCGCTTCGTGGTCTGTGCTCTGTCCTCTCCGTTTGTCGCCTAGAACAAGGAAGAAAAAGGAAAGATCGCGT